ACAAAAAATGTACATACTGAAATTCTAGTTTTTATAAGAAGGATGGGAATCAACGAAATACAATTGTTATTTGTACTGTCGACAGTACTAAACCACCCTTATAATTTTATAAATATAAAACACTTATAGTTATTATTAAAGGAGGAATTTTAATTTATTATAAAATTAAAATAATAAAATTATATGCTTATATTTATTCATAAATTTCAACATCATAAAATAATAGAAAAAAAGACTAAAAAATAAAATTTTATATTTTTGATTGTATTTATTAAAATAATTGTTTGATTACTTTATAAAACCAAAAATTTAGACCATGCACCCTTGCTTAAAATCGTTTTTAATCATATATAACGATTTATCGCAATAAGTTTTAATTTAACACATCATCTATTTTATACAATACTAAATTCCTGCTACTCAATGATTAAAAACCGTGTGTCCAGAATATTTTGATCACAAACATGAATAGCTAATACGTATACATATAATTTTTTTTAACTTCGATACCTACTGTAAAAACCAGAAAAAGTTGGTTTATTTATTTGATCAAAGGATCAAACGTGTAATTACCAATTAGTAATTTTTTTTACGTACTATCATATCCAAATGAATTGTCGAATTGAATTTATAAAATAAATTAAGCAATTAAAATAATCACTAGATATTCAACGTGACTTAAAGTTACATTTACAGGTCGTGTACTCATACTAACTTTATTCAAATTCAGAATAATCGCAGAATTAAATGATGAACGTTTAATATAGTAAAAACTATTTTTTCAAAGCTTTTGACCAATATTATTATGAAATGTATTTTGAAAAACGTCGCTCGTATACTCGTATATACCTATAATATACGACCTGATTGTCGTGACGTTTTTTTCAAGCATATTTTATTGCGTTGTATCATCGCTTGTACTCCACGCTTAAATGCTGCGGTAGAACGACACAACGTCGTGTAAAATGCGCGACCGATAACAATGTTATAAGTTAAAACAATAATATTTTAATATATTATAAATATATATATTTACAAAAAAAAAAAAAAAATGTTTATATACGACTGCGTGGTGCATGTCGTCGACTGTACAGCGGAGGAGTTCAAGGACTATCTGATATAATAATACCTATGCACATACCACAACGTAATGGCAACGTTGATTTACGGGCTCGATGTGGTATGTTGTATTTTTTCGTTTCTTTTATATTATATGCGCTCATAACAGCCGTTTTCGTTTTATGGTTATGGACACGTCGAAGGTCCGGCAATGGGCGACTCTGTGTGTGTATACGGTAGTCGTGGGATTTGTGCGGCTATTATACGAAGCGGCTAACTGTTTTACGGCGAGCCCGATTGTTTCGGCCAACTCCGTCGTCGCGCTGCCCGCCCTTTTAATGGCCGTTTCGCGTGCGCGCGGTATAATAGGTGCGCGCAGATCGTGAATCATAAAAATTCTTAATCACGGATATGTTTATTCTACGAGACTTGAAATTTTATTATTTCACCTGTTTATTTTGATACCTGCGTGGAATAGCACTATTGTACCTATATATAATTACACACGTGAGATAAAAAAAAAAGAAAAAAATACATTGCAATTTGTAATCCGCATAAATGCGTATCCGTCTAATATGCTGTGTGCCCGTGTACCTGCAAAAATTTTGAGTGTATTCGTACATTATTATGTTTGAATAATCCTGTAAATGCCGAAATAACAATGAAGCGCAGAGATATTGTTAGTTAGGTTAGATAATATGTTACTATTTATAGCGAGTTGAGGGAAAATGCAGATTTAAGTTTTCATTTTTGATATAACCTGTGTTCTGACCTTTAAATACGTCATAAATGACCGTTTTTCTGAAATTTTGGAGAAACTTTTGGATTGAACTTCTTGTTATTAGTAGTAGCATGACAAGGTTTTAAAAAAAATCTGTGAATAAACAAAATTTATTCATGTATTTATGTGCAAATAGAGATACACTTTTAATGATAACAAATAAATCAAGAATAATTTTGAAAGGAATTTCTCATTAGTAATTTTATATTTTAAAGACTAAATACTGTTTTTAGGCAATAATTTGTATCTTCAGGAACTGTCTATCTAGAGTTTATTATGTTGTTACAGTAAAGTAAGAATCTTAACCGAACGAAAAAAAGTCATATCATTATTCTTCTATACAGCATTACAAATATGGTATTATACACTATAATATCATACAACATTTATATTACATTATAGTCTCGTACGAGAAAAATATTTTATTTACAATGCTGATCAATTAAACATATTTAATAATATACATACACTGTCTTGTTTTTATAACGTATATAGTTTTACATGGTTCTAAATGTTTATACTTATTTTAAGTATTAAACATTAATAATGAGAAAGATAAGGCACGTGTACTAAAAAAATGACAACTAGTATTAGTCAGACAGACAATAAGAAATATCACATGCATAATCTTGGAATTTAAACAACACAATATTTAATAATGTGTATTGTATTCAATATTCTATTATTCTATTATAGTTTGTAATATTACGATAATGATATAATAATTCTAATAATGATCAATTTGACACATTAATATTTAATTTTTTCTAAAATAAATAAATAATGCTTCGCATAAAAAATAGTATAATGCATTTGTCTGTTGTGGCAGACTTAGCACGGCAAAACTCTTCCAAAACACGTTCATTTCTACCACCCCACAACGCTCCTTCACCCATTGATATTACCCAACTAACCTACTTTATTTCATATTTAAATAGTAGTTTGCATTTTTGTAATAATTTTGAAAAAAGTTTTACTTTTCACGTTTAGTCAAAATAGTTGCATGGTTAAAGCATCCCACAATCAAGCACTCTAGTCACGCAACGTATTTGATAATAATCATTTAAAGTGTATACTATAATGTATAATATGTGAGTAAAGTAAACGAGGTGGAAATGTGTGGGTATATAAAATAATTTCACCATCGATTCATTTCTACGAACGAAAAATATATTTAAAATCCTTCTCGCGGGCTATTCTATCATTTTCTAATTTTTTAGTAATGACTCAAATATAAAGGTGGACCACATTTTTGTTCATTACATATGGAAAATTTCACGAGTGATACACTGTGCAAAGTTGTTCCCTTCACTTATTACCAGGGAAAATAATAAAACAAATTTCTTGAACATGTATATTTTTTATGTCATAACATGTATATTCCAATAAAAGTAATTTTCCACAAACATTTCCATTGCCCACGTGTTTGCGTTAATATATAATGCCAACTTATTGCTTATTACAATATGACTATACAAGTTTATTTCTTCCGCTGGCCTGCCGCCTATTATATAATAAAAGTTATTGTTGTTTATTCCGATACCATGACACAATCTTACACTCTTAGATTATACATATTATTATCTAAAATTCTAAACTCATCGATTCTCAGATTAAGAAATAGGTACCTGCTATGAAAAGACCATCATAAATAAAAATAATATCAAACGATAATATGGATATACGTTTTGCACATTGTACTGACTACTGTTTACTGTAATAAATTGATAATTCTATGCCAAAATTAGTAAGGACGTACAACGTAAGCACTTTTAGTATTATTTACTGTAGACATTTTATAAATTAACACAAATATTCAGATGTCGATAGCTCCTTTAGTTATTTACGCATTAATATAAACGACGCGTCAAATTTCATTAAGAATTAAACTGTACACGAATAATATTACAAAAATATAGGTTCCTATTTGAATTTTAAAAGTTACTCCACGAACTTCCCCATCCTAATTAATAAATAAAATATTTAATATCAAAATAACTTAGATTACATGATTCAAAAAGGTTTTCATATAAGTCACTTTCTCCTAATTTAAATATATCATGCTGAAATCCGCTGTCACATGAAATTTGGAACACTCTGTACTGACACAACGTATAATGTAATGATACATAATAATGTGTATAGTATACATAATAAAATTTTCAAAATATTTAATATCTTTTTGACTTAATAATCATAATCATTTAAAATATTTATCTTTATTACTTTCGTTATTAAATTTTTAATTTACATTTATGTACATTTGCATCGCGGTCAAAAAGCTTAAAAATGTAATACAAGATTCCTCACAAGTTTGTCTTACAACAGTTAAAAACATTGAAAATATTTAAATACAATATTATAAGCGTTAGGTCATTCAAAAAAATTAAATTGGAAAGACTTGATACTGTACTATAATTACTAACTTGATTACGTAATTTATTATTTTCTATAATATACAAATTATACAATGCAATTTCCGAAACATTTAGATTTATTCTCAAATATTTTTACAACTAACCTATTTACACCATTCAATACGGCACTAGTTAATATTGTCTTATAAGTCATATTTAATGTTTTATAAGGCATTAATTCGATTTGCAAGATTAAAAAATAATAATAATGATTTAAATATTAAAAAACTCTAATTCCGCTATAATATAGTAATTGCTTTTATAAGAAATAATTAAATCATTTAGTTAAATAATTATACGGATATTAGTTCGTAATCGTTTTTAATATTAAAAACATATTTTATTATGTAGATTATATTTAGAGTAAATTATAATAATCATAATATATTAAATTATTTTCGTAAACCACACCAGTAATATGATATTAATTTCGAATAGATATATCATATTATGTTATGTGAACAACTAACTAAAATTTTACGATTTTACGTATTTTACGATATAAATAATAATAACAATTCTAAACATTTAGTTTTTACAACAGTGTTTAAAATATATATCTATTCAAGGTCACTTGGATATGTCCTATGGACACAAATATTATTATACTCACTTTAGAAGTCTAAAAATGTCTGGGACATTTTCTTATGTTTATTTTACAAACGCCCCCCTCCTTACTCATAATCATTAATTTGTATAATTTAATAATTACTCAACGTTTTGAACTTTACACATCCATTGCAATGACGAACTGGCGAAGTATAATCGAAAAGTCAATACAGCAGAGTGAGTTTCCCGATTTGGAACTATTACATTTATCTCATATTTGTGAAATAGCCGTGTGAGCGATAAATTTAGTACCTATGTGTACTCGTATAGTCAGTACGACTGTACATTACTAATTAGTAACTGCTTGCAAACGCATCATTTCAAGTAAATTCTGATTACTGAACAAAAGCTACAATATCTTATTAGGTAATTATTTTTTTTAAATAATTTAATACTGTTTAATGAATTATTAAAACCATTATTTATTATGCATTCTAGGAATTGGATCTATAATATCAATATGCTATTGTTACCAGCTATATGTTTTTTGTTGTGCGTTGACATTTTAAATGCTTCAAACAAAAATGATCTGCAAAAACAAAATATTACTATTTCATTTCATTCTCACAAAAATAGTAAGTAATACGTATACAGTAATTAAATATAATAAAAAAATTTAATTTACTTTAAATTTATAACCGTTATTTGTAGTAGATAAGTTGAATAAATTAATTTTTTTCTTATACGATTTTAAAATATAGAATTTACAAAACTATAGGTTCTAATTTAAATAAATATAGTTGTACATGTGTGATTAAATTCCATATATTGGTATATTTTGCAGTGTTAAGTATACAAAATACCTTAATGAATTCTTTAACTATATATGTTGTTAAATTGAGTAAAAGCTTAAAACCTAATTAAATAAATCGTGGAAAATTACATAAGCAAATTATTCGAACTTAGAAAAAAATACCTTTGTTGTTCAATTTTTAATTGATATCCATAGGTCATATTATGTATTGTATAGTTTATCTCCCAATTATTCAGCCATTATAAATAATTTTAATAAATCAACCGGACATTTTGAGATTGTCCTAGGATATACAAAATTGTAATCATATCAGAAACAAATTTTAATTCAGAATCAAATAATAGGTACCTACTCAAATGAGCGGTGGAAGACATAAGCGCAAAAATAAGATAAGAAAAAAAAAGCCGTATTGTACGAAAGTGCTAAAATCGTATCGTATGAATGCGTCAAAATCTTAGGTACCTATGTTCCACGGTTAATATAGATATTAAATTTTTTTTTTAAATTTTTTTTTTTTTTTTACAAAAACTCAAAACGTTTAATTTTAATACCAATCGACAAATTTATTATCTGATTACGATAGATTGTCATATAGACGGTGTATGAGCAGTTTTGTGTTATAAGTTAGGTATAACCATGTTGTTAGTTGTTAATATAGTTACTTCGTAAGCATTCGTGTAAAAACGTCATTCGTTAAAATTCATTTTACAAAACTATTACTAATAAAGGTATACCTATTATATTTTAACGATTACTGACAATTAATTTTGGCGCTTATTTGTTAGTTATAGTAGGTATCTATATGATATTAGACTGGCGCTTATGTCCTACATATTTTGACGCAAAATATATGCCATTTTTTGCACCGTTGGCATTTGATATCTAGCCCTTAATGAGATAGGTACCGAAATACGAGTTATAAAATTATTTATTGTTTGTTAATAATCTTAGGTAAATTTTATCATTCCCTACTATTTTTATAAACTTTAATTGTTTTATTATCATAGGAATTGAGGAAACATTACAACAATTTATAAATTTGTAATCACTCATATTATACTATGGTAAAATTATAGTACCACTTTATGATAATTTTATTTTTTAGACCACATATTAATCCATTACCAACAAATTTCCAATGAACAGTGTATAAGTTGATAATATCCATACCAATTTAGTATCTATAAATTCATACAACTGAATCACTGAATCATATATGATTTTCAATTACTTAAATTAAAACTTAAAACTTGAAAACTATCAAAAAATTACAAAAATGTATGATTTAATTGTGTGCAATTCCCTTTTTAGTTTATTGCTTTTTAACCATGTTTTACTTAAAAAATATTATGGATTAAAAAATATTAAAATATTTAGTAAAATTATATGAATATATATATAAAGGCCATTTTAATTCTGGAAAACAACTCGAATAGTAATTTTTTACATCAGCTTATATCAAGAAATCATCATCATTCCACCAAGACATAATATTCCGCAATTATTAAACATTAAATAAAATTTAAGAATTAATAAAAAAAAAATTTTTCCAAATTCTAAAATAAAGAAATTTAACTGACGTATTTAAATAGATACAATAAAGTAATATAACGTTGAATACACATACGAAAATATTGTTAGCATACAAATAAAATCGTTGTAGTCTCTCTGACAAATCGATAGTTAAAAAGATAAGACACGTACTTACCTATAATATTTTGTTACTTCATCAGCAAATTTACTAATTATGGATATTCGATATCAACAGTTGATGTGACGTGTAATTTCCAAGTGGTTATCAAATAACAAATACAAACTGCTTTCGTCATACCTAACTAATAAAATAATATAATTAAATTAATTTTGTCTTTATAATTTGATTAGAATAAAAATATAAAAATTAAAAAATCGGTAATAACTAAAAAATACATTATCTTATGAAATAATTTAAAAAGTATAGTTTGAATCTAATTAGATTTTATTTTGACTTAATGATTTTTACAAAAATATCATCACGTAAAATTCCTATTGATAATAATTAATATTAATGAAAATTATTGTATCTTGCTGTGGTCGCTAAACGATTTGTCATCAATAATAGTTATAAGAAGTTAACAATATTCGTCATTATTAGGGTCTGGATTTATATGCAACCAAAATCTATAAAATATGCAGTTTCATATCATAAATATGCAAAATAATTTTTTTTTACAAATTAACAAACTATAAGGTTTTGAGTAATAAATTTACACAATCTAAATATATTATGTATAAAAAATGTATAAAATTTATTAAAAAAACCACATACATGTACACACAATGTAAACATTTACATCGTGTAAGTATAAAAATATTATAAATTAATTAGGTAAGTATTATATAAAATTATTATTTTAAAATTTAGAATAACATTATTTTTAGAAAATTGTGTTTTAAAGTATTAGATACTAGATAGGTATACTATTTATATTAAATTATTACTTTGAGACGAGTACTAGCATAAAGTAATAAATATTGATTTTAAGTTTTCGAATTGAAAGGTTCTATGATTATCTTGGAGCATACTTTTGTACTTGGAAAAACTTCTTTTCACATCATAAGATACAATTGATGCATATTTAAAACTAGATAGATCTTCAACTGACAGTTTCTCGTTTTCGTCACATTCCGTAACCTTGCCGTTGATTATACTATTAATTTTTTTCAATGTTGAATATCCACGATTTTTTTTCAAAACATTTTTAACTTTAGATCTAGCAAAATCTATTCCTGGCCCTTCTTCTTCAAATTTAATTTTAATATTTTCTATGAGCAATAGACTATCTTTTAAAGTAACATTAGATTTCTCTAGTTTAGTTATTGTATCTATTAAACACTGAAAGTGTGTTGTAATAACGTCAATCTCATTTTTTAACCCGTTGTTATGAAATAAACTATGTGCGTTTTCAATACACTTCGCTTCGTTTTGATTAAAAGCGTTAATAACACATTTTACCTCATTAAAATATTTCCCATAGTACATTGCTGTTTCAAGCCATGTACCCCAACGAGTTAATATTGGTTGAAGAGGTAAACTCAAGTTGGAATACATTTCTTTGAAAGTATTTACTACGAGAAAATCTAATATTTGTCGATAACTTATCGATGTACATTATAATGGATTACTTGCGATTAGATAATAACTCATACACATATAAGCAGTGAATAGTGATACATTTAGGTTTTTATTTCTTGTCGGGAGAGAACTTATTGCTATCAGAATCATCCATCTATGTTAATAATTTCTTCTATAGAAGATATTATTTAGTATTTAGATGCAAAATTAAATATTATTAAAAAACAAATATTATGAATAGTTTCAATCAGAATTTAAAAATCTTGTGTTGTAATTCATACTAAATCTTTACCGGGTAATGTGAATTTTTGATTAACGTTGAAATGCACCATTATCAAATGCATTGTGCTAACAATTTAAACAACAAACTAGATTATAACTTACCTAAACAATGATCAAGTTTTTAAAAATATTTTATTTGTATAGTGTATTTGTGAACGATATATTATGTAGTCCGTCAGTCAATATAATATGTAAATAAATATCTGTGAATCACTCCCAATCAATTCTAATGCCAAGAGTAAATTAAGTTTAAAAAATATGTACTATGATATAGGGAAAACAATATGGATAGTCTATGATTATAGACTATTATAATTATTATATTATTATAATTAATCAATTTTTCTAGGAAAAAATTATTAACAGATCATAATAAATAGAAAAAAACATTATTATATCAAAGTATATAAAATACGGTTTTAAAATTTTCTTTGTCATTTCGCGCTAATATGATGCATGTACGTATAAACACAATAAGTACCTAACAGTTAAAATATTAAGATTGCACATCGATGATCTATACACCCTAGTGAATTTGGCAGCGATGTTTGATAGATGTCTGCTAATATTATGCTTCCAATTTTATTGAAATTATCTATACGTCATAATCGAATACCATTCCTTACATTGAATCATTGCAGCCGCTATGTAATATGTATCACACGTGGTTAACCATCAAACAACGGACCTGGTCTGGTTACCTACATAAATTTAAACATAAGTATATACCCATACTCCAAACGTTAACCTGTTTATAATAAACCATATAAAATATACTTTAATCAATACATATATATATAATATCTATAAATTATTACAAAGTTTATAAAAAAAAAATTTCCAACGAAGAAAACCAATATATTAAATTAAAATTTATTTTCACACTGCCTAAAATCATAGTCAGATAAAATAAATAATATCAAAATTATTCACTTAAGTTTAGTTAGAAGTTATCCAATTTTAATATAACATAGGTAATAAATTGTAATCGATAAAACTTGTTGTGGAATATTCGATAACCTAATTATTTAAACACTAGAAAAGTACCAGTATTCAATTTTCAATTTTATTAATTGTGATGAAAAACTTTTGAGCCCTTTTATCATACACTTATAAAATATTTTATTCTCCAAAATATAAACAATAAAAAATAAACACAATCATTTTTTCAATTTGACAATTTTTTACCGTATATTTTAGTGTACAAAAATATATAAATATACAAATATATCTTGAGATGCAATAATAATAACATATTATGACAAAAACTAAACATATATAACACATGTAATATATACAATTTTAAATAATATTTATTCTTTGTTTGTTATTATTTTAGATTGTTCTGAAGATTATGATATTACTACAATTTATAGATTCAGAAAAATGGGTTCGTCGACTAAATATTCATTAACAAATTCAAATGGTATTATATTATATTTTCTAAATTATCATAAATTTAAGCTATATAATTGTATTCAATGTTTGTGGAGGTTGTACCTAGGTATAATAATATATGGAAAATGTTCAAAATTAAGCTTGTCAGTATAGAGTACGATAAATTATTGATTCATTTGACATTATTGATTACACTCGAGTCTTTACTCAAAGTCAACAACAAAATGTCCATCAATGATATATTTAGAATCAAATAAAACCATATTATTGATCTATAAGTTAGGCACTTCAACAAATCATATAATAAGACGTCAGATATTTATCTATGTATACGTAATGTCTCTGGCATCCAAAAATTCATACTTGCAAGAATGCTAGAATCGGTAAGATTTTCATAAAATCGGCACATAGATAACGCGATGAATACACATATCAGATATCACTAAACAAGTTCAATCTCAAAATGTATTGAATTACATTTATTTATGAAATAATATTTAAATGAATACTAATTGTGTATGAGAATATCCTACCTGTTTTATGATGTTTTTCTTTCTGGGAAGCTCCTTGTCCAACACTTACACTTCTTTCACACTCAGCTTACACTGATTTTTGTCAACTCTTTCTAAACTCTAGTACAAATTACAATCTAAATAATTCAGGACATACATTGAGTATTCAATATTTTTGTAATTACTTTTTTGTTGTATAGTGTTTATAGGTAGGTACTGTAATTTAGTGTCATACAACTACAATATAGTAGCCGAAGTGTTATTATTTTAATACTGAGCACTATAAGTTGTATTGATACCAATATCATGAGTTTTAATGACTGATTGATCAAATTTGCTAAAATTTCGCAGAACTCCGTGAACATATTTTTATCATATCGTGTTTTAATTTTTAGGAGAAAATTATTACCTTTGGCCACGGACTCGAAAAAACTGGAGAGAAATGTGTACGATTGAAATACATTCAAGGACAAATGCCATTGGGATACCGTTGTCCATAAACAAAACAATTGATGATAATAATTCAACGTCGGATAATGTCTTGCAAATAAATACTGCTGGGTTGCTTAAATACGGATTTACTCAAAATAACAGTCGTATAGCTATTTATTTCAATTCAATATACTGGATACCATCAGCTATTGAATCTACAGGTTATGTATAAAATATTTTTAGATAAAATATCATAATACTTCCTTTTAAGAAATACTATTATTTTATACATCATCTTAATAAAATATGACTAAATTACCTAATAATGTATAATTTTAATAGGAAAAAAATGCGACCTCGACTCTGTTACTTCTAGTACTTCTACAGAAAATACAGGTAATTTTAACTAGAATAGCCATTAGGTGAGTAATAATTTCCTAATCAAAGTAACAATGTACTATCTAAATAATAAATAATTAAATGTTTTCCAATATTATATTAATAATTTTAAATACTTTGTCCTAAATTAGTAAACCATAAATGAATCCAGTATTATATTATCGTCTTGACTCCAATTATGTTACTTTCATATATTACCTATGTTAAACATTTGACTATGTCAACTTTAAACCATTAAGAAACAAGACTATTTATTTATTTTAATTTACAGGTGACTTTTACCCTTCAAGATAAATATCAAGTTTATACATAAAAAAATAATTTACAACTATCGATTGTAATAATATTAATCATTTGAAATGCAACTTTAAATTTAATTAAGTTTTAAAATATCTTATTAGATTTTGAGCGAGGAAAGATGAATGTGTTAATTTTACAATTAAATGCTTCGATTTTTAATTTGAGGAATAGTTTCTAATATAAAATTATACTTAGCCAGTTGTTGCTTTGGATGGTCAAAAGTAAATAATTCCCAGTACTTTTTAAAATAAAAATTTTTTGTTGCTTCAAAAAACTTGGAAATGTAATACAAAGTACTTTATAATAATTTATACTATAGCTATTTGAAAATGTAAAAACGATTAATAACGATATGAATTATTTGGTCATAATTCAAAAACATCATTTGTTGGACCTTAAACCATTTAAATTTATTATGATTTATAGATAGAAGATACAATGACATTTTCTGAATATTTAAATTAATTAAAAGATATCACTATTACTTAATTTAATCATACTACTATAAACCTGACCTAATTTATAAAACGCCGGTGCAAGCGGTGCATGGCACCAAGGCTCGGGCTCTGGAATATTTGGGGGTCATCGGTATTACAGATATCTAAATACTATTAACTAAAATAGGTAGTTAATTTAATAATTTTATGTTTTGATTTTTTCAAACATTGTATTGAATTTTGGTAATTAATTTGAAACTATTTTTAATTTTCTCTCATCGGTAGCAAATTATTGTGAATATTTTTTGATCAATTACTTTGTTTTTTTTTTTTTTTTCATATACATCACCAATTGGTCGAAACACATACACAAAAACTAATCAATTTTCTTATATTTGAATGTGTTAAAAGTATTATTTAAGTTATAGTTATTGTGATACATATAATATCAACATTTAATAGGTAAAAATACTTCATTTTGTTATTAAAAGAGTGTCTTTTAAATTTTTACTAGGAATTTTTTTACAATAGGCTATAAAATAGTGTATAAATTGCATTCAAATTATCTGCTTGTCATGTATAATGCAATTTAATTTGTAGTAAAAATATAAAGCTATAATACTATATATAATAAATTGTTTTTCAAGTGGACCCCTAATTTTCTTTTGCACTGGGACCCTCAGAGTTAAAGATTCGGCACTGAACCTATTCAAACTGTTTTACGGTAAAGTGATATAAACTCAAAAATTAGTAACAATAAAATTATAATACGATATAAATAAATATTATTATAATAATTGAATGATAATAATAATATATAATATTAAGTAGTTGCAATGTTTCCGACAAAAATTAAATCAATCTATCAAAATACTAATAGTAAAATAAATTACTTTGATATAGGCTAACAAACTGTCTCCACTCAGTAAAGTAGTATTCCATTAAGAACCCGATAGGATTTTATGATTTTAAGATGTATAATAATAATATATGTTGTATTTTTGCCAGAGAAAAACAATTGAGCGAGATAAATTCAATAGTATTATTGAATCTCATCCTGATTTTTTTTTATTATTATTATTATTAATATTTTACTTTACTTTGCTAACTTTATTATTTTATTAAATTAAACTCATATTAAATTCAAGAAATAATTCATTTTCTACAGTACCAAAATATGTGTTATATCATATAATTTTTAATTTCAGAAAATCAATCTAATAAATGTTTCCAAACATTAGAATATAAATATGAATCACATTATTATCAACATTATACAAGAGATGTTTATCAGACATTTCTTACGGTTGATTGGAAGCCAATTAAAAAACAAAATTGTTTATCAATTACATATTTTCATAATTTAAATTCTAATATGAAAATCATACTGAGTATATCAAATGAAAACGATACATTAATAGCGTCACCAATACTAGAAAAACATGTGAGTTATATTTTGTTAAACATTATAAATGAAAAATGAATTTAAGTCTCAGCTACTTTTATTAATGTTTTAAATAAATATTTATTCATAATGAACACTAATTGACTGATTGCACCTTATTCCGAATTACATTTTTATTAAAATAATTATGATTTATTCTTACTTATTAAAATTGAAAACAAAAACAGATTTTATCTCATCCAAATTTAAAAAAATATATAGGTTTTTTTAGGCAAAAATATATTTATTGGTAAAAAATAAATATTAAGTAAAACATACCTTTTTAAAATATTAGTTATAAATGTGCCAATTTCAATATTTATTAGAATATTTGTATATTATTATACTGCATGAATATAAAAATTTACTTGGTACACAGGATAGCATAACAACATTAAAAGTTGAAAACTTAAATCTTATTCAAGATCAAGAATATAAACTATCATTAAAAAGCAAATATGCTAATATGCACAGCTACTACAGTGGGGATTTTAGAAATTGGTTTGAATTCTTGCGGATTGCTCAATGTCCAAATAACGGTAATTTTTTATGCATATATATATTAATCAAATAAATCAACAAAAATTACTGTAGATTCTAAACACATTTTAATGATTTTTTTTTTTTAGATGGAAATTTGAAATAAAAGAACAATAAATATTATGTTCTTTAAAATTAAAATTAAACATTTTTATTTTTTTAAATATCTATTATTAATTTTACGCATCAAATTAATTTTTAATTTTAAATACTTATAAATATTTCTTCTCATAAAAAAATAATTTTGTTATTTGTTTTTAGATGAAGAAGAAGTCACACTTGTTTCTATGAATGATATTGGTCATAATAATTTGTGTATCTCCCAAAAGCCTTTCGTTATCCTGGGAAATGGTAAGAGTTCAAACACATATATTCAATAAATGAGATTTCAAAGTTATAAAAGCCACCAAGTGAAAACATCAGATAAGTTTTACAATGATGTACTATTTTTATTTATATGAAACACTTATAGGCTATAAAAATATTCAGAAAATTTCGGAAATTACCTTGGTCAATTATATTTTAAAAATACCAATACGTCATATTATATGGTTCTTTACAAAAAAACCTTTTTTTTTTCTTAAATATTATGCATACAAAATAACCATAAATTAAAAAACAATGCAACTGTAGAGCTAGCCACTGAGGTTAGTATCTTTAAATTTTTTTAATGAATAAGCAAAATTTTACAATAATATGTTATACTTATTTTCGTAAAAATCTTTTGATAATGACAATGATAATAAATTTAAAATAACTTAGTTCAATATGTGGTACTTAAAAAATATTTTTTCTTCAAATATCCTATTCATTTGTGAACGAATTTTTTAAAATTAATTATATACCAATTTGATAACTACGTTCTGCTAAGAATCGTTTCCTAAATCAACAATTTATCATTTAACTTTCAAATTTTAATACATCAACTCAGCTGTATAAATGTCCAATTAAATTGTTTCATTTTGAATAGTATTTTATAAATTTCATTTTTATTAATTTATTATTTTAACTAATTTATAATAATACTTGAATGACATTACCTTACCCTTATAAACGTATGATGTATTATGTGTATATTGTAATAGCATGTAGTATACATATATTATGTTACTGGCAATCTGGCCCTTCTCGAGTAATGTGAAATTGTAAATTACGAATTATAAAATAATATATATATATTTTATAGTTTAATTATATAAAAACATTTTTCCACTACATTATTTTTATTTTATTTTAACATTAAATAAAGATGAAAATAGTATCAACAACAAAACTTCAACAACATCTTGTTTAAATGGAGGTTACATGCTACAAACGAAATCAACGTGCGTTTGTCCGCCTGGCTTTATAGGACAATTTTGTGAAAAAGGTAACTACACCTCTACCAAAAAAAAAAAAAAAAACATTTACATATTTACACATAATAATATATCTAAATAACTATATTATAGTTAATATCAATTATAAAATAAAGTTTCAAATGAACTAGTTATTGAAAAATGTTTTACAAAAATTTAGGTACTATTATTTAATGCTAATATAGCATTAATAATATGTTTTAAACTTTTATATTTGTTTAAAAATAATATAATACATATTAAATATTCAGGTTAAATTTAGGAAACAATAAAAATATGTTAGGTATTTGAAAAATATTTTACAGAAGTTTTACAATTAATACATATTAATACGAGAATATAGAAAACATTAAGACATTACAGGTAATCATGTCAAGACAAACAAAACAATTTGAAAAAATTGATATTACTTATTCCACATATAATAAATTATTTAATTACCTAATATATCTTATACTTATTACTACTATTACTTTCTTTGGGATAGTAATATACAATTTTTTTTTTAAATACACAAGTTTATAATTAATAACTAGTTCAAAGAACAGTAATTTACAAATACTTCTTTTTTTTTTTTTTGTAAATTGCATAGTTTTAATGTTTTACGTATAAAAAGTTGTACCACAAATAATTAATAAATATAACTGCTTAAACTTTTTATTATTGATACAAATATAAAAATTAACAAATAAAATACGTTCCAGGATGTGGACCAAATCATTATGGCGCCGATTGTAAAGGTGTTTGTTCGATGTATACCGATGAAATGTGTCGTGGAATATTGATGTGTACAAAATATTATGGCTGTACATGTCCAGTAGGTTTAACTGGTTCATTATGTGATAGAGGTTTGATTAATATTAATTTTTCACAATCTGTATTCATACATAATGCATAATATGTTAACATACATTTTTTATAGACTGTCCACCAGGTAAATATGGCGCGAATTGTGAACAATCATGCTCGTCAAATTGTCTTGATAGAACATGTGATCCATATACTGGTATCTGTTATCGAGGATGTTCACAAGGATATTCATCTCCGTATTGTCTACAAAGTAAGATACAACATTCTTAAATTTAAAAAGTATAAATACTATGGTTAAAATTTGTTACTGTGTTCTTTATAAATATTTTAAAGAAAAAATAGTATAAAAACGAAATCACAGAAGTACTTATAAGTTATAACACATTAATACCAAGTAACTATATTTAATGAAAAATGTTGTTTAAAACCTAACTTTAATCAAAAATTAAACAATAAACTTCAAAAATGTAATATTATTTTTGTATTTCAATTGTTTAATCTCTAAAGCTTTCTATATAATATGAAATAATATTGTATTTTATAATTTATTTTACTTTATAGAGTATCCATACCTCATTAATCCACCAATACTTCTTTCGGATAAATACGAGACATTAGAGATGGAGTTGAATTTCGGATCAAATAATATAAAAGGAGGAGATAACATTTTAAAGTTAAAATATTATCAATTACTTTATAAAGTAGGTATATATTTTTTTATGGAAACAGTTTCAGTATTGATAATAGTTTAAACTATTTATATTCAGGTGTTTATGCTATTTAAAAAGAATTAAATAAAAAATAAGTACTGTATTTTAATGGATACTTAATTATTTTTGCAATGTTATAATAATATGAACATATAGTTAGATATATTTAAAATAATTTATTATAAAATAACTAAATTTAAAAATGTATAAGTTATTTATTAGTAAAAGTCAGATAAAATCCAATTCACAATTTATATATTAGATTCCTTTTTCATATAATCAAAAATTTAGTAATTTATTACAAAGTTTATGTCACAGTAACTTAAAACTGGAATAATATTTATTTTTTTCTTTAATTAAATAAAACTATTGATGGTAAATAATAATAAATATAATGATTTGAGCTATAAATGTATTTAATACATACCCAATCATAAAATATATACGAATATGGGAAATTTTTTAGCTAAAAAAGTTATATTCCTAATTAATATTTTTAATTTTTAGTCAATAATTGAAGAAGAATTTACAAAATCAGAGTTTAAAATTATAATTGAAAATAATACTAGAACCACCGATATTCTAAATAATTTAGAACCAGATACCACTTATATAATTGGTGTTCTGGTTATAGCAGATGATGGAAATTTCAATTACGAAGATATTGTTTATGGTCAATATAATACATCATGTATCCGTAAGTATTTTAGAAAAATTATTGAAGTAAAAATAAATGTAAAAATAAAAATTAAGAAAATATAATAATTGCTTACAATAGTTATTGTATTATTTATACTAATCAAATAATAACAAAAAATGAAGCTTTAACAATTTTAGTATTTATAATTACAAACTTAAAACAATAAAGCAGTTTTAAATTTATAATAATTTTTAGATATTCACTTCTTTTATAAAGTTATGTATAAATTAGATTTATAATAAATGTAATTATGATCTAAATAACAATTATAGATTTTGATCACATAATTTAAATTTTAAATCTGTTTTTAATTTGTTAATATATTGTCCAACTTTTTTAGAACCTGAAATTACTGATTATAACATTCAATTAATCAGTGGGATAAAAAGTGTCAACGTAAGATGGGATAAAGTAAGTAGACTTCTTGTTAATTATAAATAATTTACATATTTTTTTTATTTAATGTTTATTAATTGATATGTAATTTCAAATCAAAACATTATAGTTTATTAGTTGACGATTCTATTATAATGAACTAATCACATTATGAATTTACAGATAAATCTTAAACGATTCGAATGTAAAGTAATTAAATATATATTGACGTTAATGTTTAATCAATCAAAAAATCAAATTTCGGGCATTAAAGAAATAGAAACAAGTTCCGATAATGGCTACTTAATAGAAAATCTTTATCCTGGATATAATTATAGTTTATCTTTGACTTCTCAAACTAATAAAGGACCAATGATGTCGTCACCTACTTATTCATTTATTCCTCTAATAACAAGTAACTTATTGAATTTCATTCGCCTGTCCAGGCATATATACTTTTCTTAAATTTTTTTCAAAAACAATTTTTTTTTCACACGGCAATAAAAGATTAATTTAAAAAATGTTTTACCTACAAATCACCTGTATATTTTTTTCTGTATATATGCCTAAACTTATCAAATATTGATTGAATATTATATTTCAAACATAGAAAATGATGTCAGTATTAAAGATCTGGTTGCAACAACAACTGATGATAAAATTAAAATATCCTGGAAATTAAAAAATGTTTACGAACAACACACAATAGTTCATGAACCTTTTACTTATATCATCAGATTTAAAGTAATTGAAATAATTTTACTTATATCTATACATTGGTTTGCAATTATTTTTATAAAATTAATTTCAAATTGGTTTCAGCTGCATCGAATTCTTAGTTGTTCTTTGGAAAATTTAGAAAACGATTGGACGTCAGTAATAATTTCCAATCGAACAAATTACGAAATATTCGATGTGGTTCCTAATGCGCAATATTGTATACAAGTTAAAATTGCAAGTGATGAAATAAATACTCGAGAAACTCAAATTTACGTATTAACTCAATCATCGAGTAAAGTTTGATAAAACTTTTTTGTATTCATATTTTAATTAATTATTTTTGTGTGTTTCTGAAAAGCACCAAAAGTTGAACCTGTTTTTGACCTTGAACACCCAATGTATGTGACGAATAGCTCAATATTTATCCAATGGAAAATCGATCACGTAAATTGTTCAAAATTAAATGGATTCTTATCAACGTTCTACATTGAATTAAAGGTACATTTTATTGATAATTAATTTGTAAGATGAAAACATAATATTCTTATAATCTTATAGGATAAGCAAAATAACATATTACAAGTAAATGAAACGAAAAATAACTACATTCACATCAATGATTTGAAATCAAATAATTATTATGAAATAAAAGTTTTTATAAAAACACACATGGGTTATAATCCTGAACATTATCTGTTTACAAATTTTACTACTAAAACAAGATGTAAATACATTATAATTATTATAATGATTAACTTATTATTTATTCATACAATGATAAATATTTGTTTTTTAATTCACGCAGATTTATCACCAGTCAATGACTTGGTAGCTTATAAAAAAAGTCTTAAATATCGGTTAGTGGGACTTCGTTGGTATTATATAGAAGATACAAGTTTAGATGGATTTATAGTTTCAATTAATGAAGACACTTTTGGAAAGAAAAACAAAGTTTCTGTGATTTCCCCGATAAAATGTCCTGCTTGGCCAGAATACTATTGCTATACTTATCATAATTTGAGCTCAATAAACAACTTTACTTTCAAAGTACGTATTGTTAAACGACATAAAATATTTTATAATGTACAAAAAAATTGTTTATAATATTAATTATGAAATTATATAATGTATTTTGTATTAGATAAAGCCCAAGTCTATTGACTATCCTGAAGGTGGCCCAGAGTCGTCCATTTCATTCAACATAAACGATGAATGTAAGTAAGATAAATGGATAAAGTATAAACAGATCTAATACACAAATATTAAATTATTTTAATATTTTATGATCACGAACTATTTAAATGTTCTGTTTAGTGCCAGATTCACCAAATAATTTAAAAATTACTGACATTGGTAACACTTTTATATCTCTCCAATGGGACATTCCATGGATATTTAATGGTATACTGAAAATGTTCATTATTAATGTAGAAGAAATATCATATGCAGATATGAATTTGTATTCAGGAGTTAAGGCAACAGAATATCCAATCTATGAAGAAGTACCTTCTTTTAATTATACGGTAATTCGTTAAAATTTAATATACCTTTAAATAGTTTTATTATCTACATATTATCAAGAATTTTACTTATAAAAATACGTATAACCTCACCTGTTAGCTTATTTATGTATAACTTCCATCAAGGAAGCAAAATCTTACCAAGATTTTTTTTATAGTTCATCACAGTGTGAACATTCTACAGCTTGTATCTCTACTGCATTATTCAATCAGCATATCCAGTACTCCTTATCATTAGTATTAATTACACTATTGTGTTTACTTATTTCATAAATCAATACCATATTTTAATTTTTTAAATAGATTAGGTTAGATACATTAAAGAAGTTGTACATTAAAGTTGTTGTATACTAAAGAAGTTAATCTACCCAATAACAATAAACACCTGTTCGAAAAATTTAAATAAATCAACATTTTTACTTTTTTGGTTAATTCTTTCTATAGCTCAGTATGGCTCATCTTAAAATTCGTAGGTAATTAATAACTAAAAAATTACTCTTTGTGTTCGGAATGTAAAGTTATACATATCATAGCCCATAGGACATTGTACGTTATGGCAATTCTCTGAAATTTAAATATTATTGTTACGACAGTTGCTACACCGCAGCCTCTCACTGGGATAAGTGCAGTTAAACAAGCGCCAGAACTCAGAACTTACTAAATTATGTTCATTTTTTTTTTAAAAATGTCTACAATTTAAATCAAATTATTTTCATTACGTTATATCAATCTGATATTTTACAGCTCAAAAATCTAAATCCGGGCTCGACTTATTCAGTTGGAATAATATCCGTATCCAAGTCACTATGGTATAGTTTACCGTCCAGAATTCTCGCAAAAACACTTTTAGATTAATTATTATTATGATTTAATATTAATAATTACTAACATTCCATTTAATGCACCAAGTGAAATCATAATTTTTCACAATATTTTTCTTTGTAATTTATCTAACACAATCATACTAATATTTTGTTATTTTATAATAACAGGTAGGCACTATATTATAAAGTGCTATTCCATTTAAATATTATTATTATTTATACAATATACCTAGTACCTACGCGTTTATACTAATTTTTATTGTAGTACGTAATCGTTATAGTGTTCAGATCAATAAAGAAACGTCATTTACCTTAACATTTTAAGACTGAATTATTCAAGATAAATTTTTTTTTTGTATAACTCAGTTATTTAGTTTAGAAAACTAAATGGTTTAAATTTGATCATCGGATACAATTATCTAATCAAGTCGTATAAATCTATACCTAACCTATACTCATCTCATAATGAAGACTAAGAGGACTAAAAAACTAACTAATTTACAAAATGATATCGGCATATTGATAATTTTGAATTCACTGATTAGGTATAATATAATAAACAATTATATACAGAGGCAAGAACCTAAAGGTGCGCAGTCTAGTCGTATTTTCTCAAACATAAAAAGGTAAAAAGTGCACAGTTGTGTTGTACCGATAAAATACAGTGAATTCCGCCGAATGTAGCCATGTAGGCACCGGTTAATATGGGCATCCACTTCCAAATTAACAAGAATAAAAAATAAATATAGAACAAGCCAGACTAAGAAAATGTTAACATCATTAATCATATTATATTCAGAAAATTATATTTTGCAATTCATCGATTTCAATGAAACTATTCAACAATTCGCAAAAGAAAAACCAAGGAAAAAAATTTAAATTATTCTTTTTTAACAAATACAGTGTTTATATATATATATATTATATATAATAAATTATTACATAACTATTAATTTATATAGCCATATATATATATATTTTTTTTTTGTACTGACAAAATTATGTAATAATAGGTAATATACAATTTTTTAAATGTAGTGATAACATTTTTTTTAAGTTAAAGTTATAAAGGGGCCCACTAAGTTTATGGTGTTCTAGGGCCCAATCGATCCTTAATCCGGGCGCTTGCCTCCAGCCCTAAATATTTCACCATGAAGACGTGGTTGATTAAACCAATATAAAACTATTGCATCGGTGGCGTTTCGTTTTAGACCGTTCTAGAAGCGCCGAATGACCCGGAACAAATTGAATATTATAATGCTATAAATATGATCGCCACGACGAAGTAACTGAAAAAATGAAGATCGTTAATCATCGTCAAAAGTTCTTTTTAAATCAGTGAAACAAGGTTTTTAAGAGTGTTTAAGTTTTAAAATTAGTATTGCGAATGTCAATGGCTTACCGCAGACTATTTTAAGTATCTATTTAAACGAAAATATGATATAAAATTTACGTATTATATTGTCTTTGAGCCTATTCTTGCACATCTCGTCCACTAAAAGGTTTCGTAACTGGTCGCCGATATTTTATACCAAAGACACATGGTATTATTAATTATTATAATATTTTATTACATTTATACAAATTATGTATATTTTTAAATTTCCACGTGCCGACTGCCGATTGTGGCGATTGTGCTGCCGCAGTTGAGAATTCGCGCGATCCGTTTGATAACGGCGACCGAAACATTTTGTACGATTGTGTCTTATCAGTTTCCGAATTTGAATGTTAACATTGTTAACCCACCGCCTTAGCGGCAGAGCCCACAGGTAGGAAAATCACCACCGACTGATCGTAGTTTAATATTATTATATCGTCGTTGGACTTGGTGCTCACTGCGACTACCTGTATGCCGCGTGTAGTTTGAAATAAAAATCGTTTTAGACCAATGGCATTTTTACACTGTCCATTTGCATGATATTTTTACAGTTCAAAGTTCAGTGTTAGTTTCCAACTTCTAAGTTAGTAAGTTCATTGAATACGTTTTAATTTTTATACCCATTAGCAGTTCATAATGCGTTTGTTCAACACCTTTTTACGACCATCGACAGGTAAAGGTTTTTATTTATCAATAAATCATTAACTTTAGAGTAAGTTCCGTTTTAAACATTCAGGCGTTCGAAACATTTCCGGTTTGATATTGCCCGAGACCCATTCAAAACTGAAGAACGTTTGTCGCGAATTTTCAGAAACTGAATTGCGTCCAATCGCTGCAACACTAGACAAGGAACAGATGTACCCTTCTGATCAAGTAATTAAATACAGATGATCTCGAGGAGATGTTAACCGATTTAAAAGTATTAAACTGCATAATAGGTACCCATAATGACTATAATTATGTGAAGTGTTTCATTGGTATACAAATATATACCGTACATTAGTTGAAAAATGTTTGCAGTATTAATTTTATACTTTCTCGACATTGTATATGATTATAAGTGTAAATAAACATCCAAGAAACGTTGAACTTTCAAGTTTATATTGATGTTAGTCTCTTTATTATAGATAAAAAAATTGGCAGACTTAGGAATTCTAGGGGTTGTGGTTGATAAGAAATATGGCGGTTCAGGAGCTGACTCTCTTGCATTGTCAATAGCAGTCGAGGAAATATCCAGGTAGAGTATACTTTTGTAATAGTCTTCATAATATACTTGTTCAGTGTTTACTTACATAAATTTAATATAGTTTACCTTAATTAGATGCTGTGGTGGAACTGGTTCGATTGTAAGTATTCATAATGCTCTATATGCAGGAATATTAAACAAAGTCGGTACTCCTGAACAAAAGTCGCAATTTCTACCAGATTTTATTAGTAAAGGTATTGTTGGATGTTTTGCTCTCAGTGAACCAGGTAATTATTCTAAAACATATCAATCATAGTTTAAAATAATACCATTTTATTTTTATTAATGTAAGGTTAGGAAGTGGCAGTGATGCTGCTAATATGCACACAATAGCAAAACGCGAAGGAAATCATTGGATATTAAATGGTACAAAGGCTTGGGTGACTAATGGTATTGAAGGAGGTGCAGTTATTGTGATGGCTCGTTCTGATGTTATTAAAAGTCATAACGGTGTATCAGCATTTATTGTACCAACAAATACACCAGGTATTTTTTTCATTATATTATCATGAGCTTACAATTTTAAAAATTGAATTGGGTTAAGCCCAATGTATATAAAAAAGAAAACAAATTACAAAGTATCAATAATACATTTTATGATCAATAAATCATTATTATAATAATTAAATTATTAATTCTATAACTTTTAAATTCTTAACTTAGAAAACTCGTATACCATTCTTGAGAAATTGAGTATTCGTTCAATTATCAGTTGTGTACAAAAATTATTATCTAATACTTTTTCACAATAGTTTAAAGTCGTAAATAAAAGTAAGAATATGTTTTAGAAATCCTTGTTTTTTTCTTTTTCTTTTTTAAACCATTGTAAAAACAAAATAATCTTATTTAAACTATAAAACTTTAATAAATAGTAAACAAAAATTTCTAAGTGGTATAATAATTTTAAAAATGAGCATAAAAATTCTTGTACTTCATTTTTATTATTTATTTCAATAAATACCTATATCATAAAATACATTCATAACAAAAACAATTTTTATCCAACAAGAATAGTCATACTAAAAACTAATAATGCAGCACAGAAATTGTTAATTCTGTGAAGAATTCAGTATCTATGAAGATTTTTTTTTTTTTAATTGTCTTAAATGTTAAATTTTTATGATTAGTAATCTATCTCAAGTCACGTTTTTGTTTTGTGATTCCTGGTTGATGGTTTTATTTACAAACTATACATTTGGGAACAAAGTAAGTATAAGTCAAAAGTCAATGCAATGTGTAGGCAATCCCGGTATATTAAACTAAGGCTAAGTTTTTTTTAATTTTAATTAAAGTTTTACTACTATAAAATTAAATTGATAAAATATCATTTTCATTTGATTCAATAGTGTTATCTACCTAATTTTATTAAGTCTATATTATTTATAGATAATTCTTTAATATCATTTATGTTAAGCTGAGTAAATTGTTTTTAACACATGATCATTATTTTGTGTTGTTTTTTAGGTTTAACAAAAGGTAAAAGAGATGATAAATTAGGCATTAGAGCTGCATCTTCTTGTAATATTATTTTGGACAATGTTATTGTACCAACTGAAAATATGTTGGGAAATGAAGGTGATGGTTTTAAAATAGCCATGTCAGGAATTGGTTAGTAAATCTATTATTAGATACATGTAATTATTAACTTATTTATAATAAATAGTAAATAAATGTAATTTTGACCAAAATGTTTTATAGATTTGGCTAGAATAGGCATTGCATCACAAGCATTAGGGATATCACAAGCAGCAATGGACTGTGCAATCAATTATGCCGGAAACCGAACTGCTTTTGGTAATGCTATTATTAAACTTTCAGCTGTGCAGGTATGAATAATGTTCTCACTAATACTATAATATCTATAAGTCAATGCATTTATACTAATATCAAGCTTGAACTTATATGTAAATACATATATTCACTGTGATTTGATAAGTTAACCCATACAAGCAATAAATTTGTTTCGTGGAATTATTTTTTTTACTTATTTCTTATATAGTTAAATATGAATAGTTGACACACAAAAAACTATAGTGTATATTTGTGGTTTAGTGTATGTTAATTTGTTGGAAATATTATGTTCATTAATAATAGTTGCACTAATCATGCCAAATGTACAATCGTCCAAGACTGGAAAAACTGCAAAATGTTTCTGAAAATTTCCAAACAAACATTTATAATGTAATAGTTAAGTTTGATATTGTTTTTTTTTTGTAAAAAATCTTTAATGATTTGGAAATATTTTAAATTAACACGTTTAGAAAATAGTAAGCACATAGATAACAAATTTAGAAAACAGATTTTTAAATTATTAATAACCTCAGTTTCTAATACACTCAACAACAATTCAAGCCAGCTTTTATTAAAGTTGAATATTGTTCTTGCAAAACTTTAAAATCATCCTTTAGAAAAATACCTATACTAAGTCAATTAAATATAACCAATTTATAAAGCCTTATTTCTATTAGAAACTCAATTGGTAATAACATGTATGAAGCAACTGATGTAGAGAGTAGATTATCAGACTTCATTAATGGAAGTATCTTAGTTATTTTTGTAGTATAAAATATAAATACAATAGATTCTTGTTAGAACATGTAAGTTCAAGCCTCAGTAATTGCAGAGAATTTATTAACATTTTATTCTAGCAAAGGCTTGCTAAAATGGCAACACGGTTGGAAGCTTCTCGACTCTTGACATGGAAGGCTGCATGGTTAAGAGATAATGATCGACCTTTCACCAAGGTAAATTTATACTAAATAATTGTATTATATTTTATGTATATTTATTTAAATAATTTGTTTTCCAGGCAGCATCTATGGCCAAGTTAGATGCATCGCAAACAGCTACATATGTTACACACAATTGTATACAGATTCTCGGTGGAATGGGTTATATCGCCGATATGCCTGCCGAACGGCATTACAGAGATGCGAGAATAACTGAAATTTATGCGGGCCCAACAGATATTCAATATATGGTTATTGCTGAAAAATTAGCAAAAGAATATGGGTATAAAACTAGATAAGACTTAAATATTAAATTCCATTTTTTACTTGGTTGTGGACATTTTGTTTTTGTTTATTATTATTTATGTTATAATCTTATTATATGTTTATCACTGAAAGTTGTATTTTTCCACTTGTATACATATATTGTAAATGCTAACTAATAATTAGCATATTTTACTATTTGAATAACTACAAATTAACGGTAAGCAAAAATCACTTTAAATGATTGAACAAATTAATACACATATCAGATATTTAATAATTTTTTTACGTCTTCTTTTTGGATTTTCTACAGTATTATGCTATTAACCAATTGACTATTGAGTTTTTAATTAAAATAATGTGTATTACTCTATTACACTTTTCCTAGTAAAAAGGAAAACAGAATTTACACTAGTCATGATTAAAAATAAATACCCAAACTTACAGTTTTATTATACTATTATTTTTTTATATTAAACTGCTAACAATTTTAAAATTAATTTGGCTTATAAGAAGCTATAAATTTTTTTCTTCGTTCTACAGCTTCGATTTTAGCTTGTTTCTTAGCTTGAGCTTTGGCTATCAAATCTTTTATAACAAATTCAGGTAATCGTTTTCCTCTCCATCTGTTTGGCAATATTGTCATATTAACAATATTCAATTTGTCTTGCACATAATTAGCAGCACTAAATTTTTCAGCTTCTTTTACCTGTAAAAATATGAAAATTAGTTACTACTAGACATTAAGAGTACATGTATTATATCTTGTTATTATATATTGGATGAGGTGTATATATTTTCTATTTCAAGATAAATGACACATAAATTATTTAAAGCTTTTCATGGATACAGATATTATTTATTATTTTTTTTGGGGGGAAATTTATTAGGATCTTTAGTTTTATGCTACTCCTAAAAATATGACCAGTAATGAGTCCATAGTATTAACGCACAATTGAAGATTTAATATAATTGAAAAAGTTACAAATAATAATTAACAGTAACCCTATGTTTTCTTATAATTAACATTTTACTTATAATAATTAATCAATAATAATTTGAAATGTTAGATAATCAACACTATATCCAATAACATGGACTTCTTTGAATCCAGTATGTTGAAGTAAATAATATTCTACTTTTATAACATAAAAATATTAAGATAAACATTGTAAAATTAACTAACAAAAATTATTCAATCATGTGAATTTTTTTACTGCTATAATGTGAAATGCTGAAATCAATACATTTTATGTTTATTTATTCAAAATGAATGTAATGAGTAAGATATTATATTTGTTTAAAAAAATATCACTTTTAAAATTTTAACTTTAAATTGTAGAGTATATAATTATAAATAGTTATTAACAAATCATATTTTTTGCTAACACATATTTCTTATTTTTTTTTTTTTTTTTTTAATTAATTATGGTATTCCTAGCTAGAATAGCTATCTAAGCCTATTGATAATATATACATAATTTCTCATTTAAAACAATATTAACTAGACCAATCTATTAAAATTATTGTATAATAAATTGTCATAGATTACCTGTCCCATTAGTTCAGCTTGAAAAGCTTTTTCTTTTCTCATTTCTCTCTTTTGTCGAACTTTGGCCCATATGTACTTCATGCGCTTTCTTAACTTTCTCAATTTATGTTTTTTCATTTTCTTACGGCGAATTACTATTAGTCGAGCTGCTTGAATTTCGTTATCATTATCAACCAAAGGATCAGCCAATGGAATAGATATTATTGGTCGAGGGATTCTTAAAGGAATACAAGGATTAGGTTTGTCTATGATTTTTTTTGTTGATATAGTTGGCAGTTTAATAGAAATAGGTAATGTTGGCAAACCCAAAGGCGATTGATTTAAAGAACAAATAGATCGTGTGGTCGGATGTAAATGTCTTTCAGCAGCAATAGTAACTAAAAATAAATTTAATTGTAAATTAATAAATTATGTTAAAACTAATAAGCTATTGGTTTTAATAGTTCAACCTTTACATTTTCCTAAAGTGTATTTGATGGTATCCAAAGAATTGAAATATCACACTTATTAAAAATTATAATTATTATTTTAAATCTAAAGAATCGTGTAAAATATTCCCATAATTTGAATGTACAAATATAACTATTGCTAATACCTATATTGTTCAGTCCAATAAAACACTTAAGATATTGACGATTTTAAAAGCAAGTAAAACGTTACAAATTTACTTAAAAAATAAATAAGAGCTAAGTGCTATTGAATTGTGCAGCGTATACAAATCATAAAATAATGAATATTATTAACCAGAATATGCACACAAAATCTGCAGTAGACTGGCAAACCGTTCAAAAAAAAAAAATTTATGAACACATTATTTACTAGCGAATTATTTGTGGAAATAATAAAATCAGATAACAAATTTACGGACAAGATATTTTTTGAGGCTTTCGCGAAATATAAAAAACACAAATACCTAAAGAAAATAATCATAAATCGAGTGAAATTATTTTTATTCTTACTATTTGCGAAGCTCCGGACGACGAACCTCAGATTTCCCAACATTGTGGCGGCAATATTCACGTCCAAAAATCGGTATACGCCATTCAGTTCACCGTGTGGCTAATAACACGTCCGACGTGAACGCGCAGAATAAAATTCAACTGATGTCTGAGTGTTCCGTAATTGAACGACTTAAAATGTTTCCATAAAAAGGGATTGATCTTCGCAATTTTCACAAATTCACTATCACGCTTGTTCACGCTGCCGAGGTCTACCGGAGGTTCTTATCAATCTTATCAAACATTTGATAGAAAGCCGTGTTACTAGTTCCATCTAGGTTCGTAGTCAGTCCGATTATTATTTAAGTTTATTGGCGCTTTTTACGTAAACAGAAATTTCGATGATATTTTTTTTTTCGTTATTAAAACAAAATAATGTCAATTCGTTTTTCAAGAACCACACTATGTACTACCCCGATATGTGATAACAATATCGCATAAATTATTATTGCAATTACATGGTTGGACAATTATTTTCTAATTCATCTAAAACTAAATCAAAACATTAGATTTATTTCCGACAATATTATACTGGGGAATACAGCAGTGGCGTACTCACGTGGGGGGCTCATTTGGTTTGAACCCCCCCCCCCCTACCATTGTCCGTATTTTTTTTCTGTTTCATATGAGTATCACAATATAATATTTATAAATCAATTTAACAATTGATGTTATTGTGAATTGTGATAATGTGATGATTTTGTGTGTGCTTAAACGCTTGATTAAAATCCATTTGTAGTTAATACTGTTTCTAGTGTGGCAATATTGAAAATGCTTTATTATATTTATTATTTTATTATGTATGTTATAGTAAACTCTGATTTCATATGTGGAAAGTTTTCCCATGTATAAATCGTAATCGGTCATGATATAAAAGTAATCTAAATTAATATATATATTTATATATTGTATGAAATGTTCAATAATGTGCGTCGGGTTGACGGACGAATATTATCGATCAGTTGTCGTCTGTCATCAGTGAAATAAGAGATATCTTGGTTTTATATTTCTGTAATAATTGTAATTAAAATAATTATCAATAAATAATACAATGGAAGATAAAAGAAAAAATACATTGTTATCGTATTTCAGTAAAAAAGTTTGTATGGAAACGCCAACGGTAATTCTAGTAAATTTTCTAGTAAAATAGAAGTGTTTTTAAAAACACTCATACTTTTTGTCACTTAATTTTCAAACATTCTATTATCTAAATTTTTTTTTGATCAAAAATTGTACAATTATAATTTTTTTACACAAGAGAAATATTTTAATTTTGTCATTATTAACTTATGCTTGTTATATGTATACCTTTATATATTTTTCTTTCGGTGCCTATACTAAAAAAATCGATTTAACTATTTATGTAGTCTTTCATAAATACATATAATAATGTAAATAATGTAACAGTGCTTCGATTTGGTGTTATTAGGTAGTTTAATATCTCAACACGTGTAAAAGAAAAATTAATTTAAGTACTAAGTGTTTCACTGTGAAATCGAGTAATTTTTCTCTAATTATTATTTACACGTTATACCCACCGAGACTTGGTTCAACAATGAATAAATGTTTAATCTTAAATTCTTAAGATACTCGACGATGAAATTCAGCAATTTGTGGTGCATGGTGTGTAATTAGATCCAAGCACAGGAAAGACAAATTCGAAACGGAGTTCTAGTGAAATTGGCACCCCCGAATCCTTATCCAATGCAACCCAATGTGCAAAGTTTCTTATCAGTTATCACTAATGAGATCATGATAACCCATGCGGCATGCATCATGACTGAGCGGTAAACACGAGTCATACAAAAAATCGTCTTTCAGCTTTCAAACTTTTTGAAACTTCATACGCGTCTTAATTAAAGTCTTGACAGTGAAACCGTTTTTCCGTTTTGTGAGCTGATTGGTGAGTATTTTAAGACATTGTTTTAATCTTGGTATTTGTATATAAAATCGTAATATTTAAATTACTCGTTTAATTAACCACTCCAGTCTGTGATCTTCTAGAGTACAACATAAATTAACCAAAGAATAGGTTACTATTAATTTCTTTAGTGTTTTAATCATCACAGACCCCATTCATTTTAATATATATTCAAATTTTGATTTATATAGGTAGATACATCGACATTAAAAAAAATAATAATAATAACAAACATTACTTAACTAACAATTCACAGTAAAATAGTTACCAATTTGAACAAAAATTAGTTATATAGTCCATTGTTATACAACACCTCTTATATTACATAAAAGTCAAAATGTCTGAAAAATGATGTTTGTTTAAAATTTGATTAAAAGAAACATACTGTTGAAAACGTTCAGTGAATTGTCTTGTATGTTTTCTACTATCGAACATAAAATAATCATCATTATATTGAATTCTGTTTTAATTCTGTTATAGGAAAAATTAGGTAAATGGAATCAATCAACGACATTGATACATATCCAGGATTTTGTTCAAAATGTGGTTCAATACTACCGTCATTAAGTATGGAAGAATTTATTAAATGTTATTCGTGTAAAACAGTCTTTGGGCCAGAAAGTAAGTCAAAAGCATAATTTTTTTTTTTGTTTTCTATAAAACTATTATAAATTTATAAATAATAGTTTTCTAACTAATACGACTACCTTTTTCAACTTAGTTGTTAGCTTCACCTGCCTAGTACAAAATTGGTATCGCATAACATGAACCAGTCTGTTTAGAATGTTTAGATAATCGTTAATCTATCAAATAACTAATAAACAAATTTATTATTAATGATTATTCAAACATTAAAATTAATTGTTATTTATTTTTTACAGTTTATGGTAATTCTGTCGCTGAATACAATATTATTTTGAACTCTGTAGAAGATATAGATAATGTAGTAAAAAATGAGCATAACAAAAACGATGCTGATGACGGTCCTATTGCTGAGAGAAGATGTAGCCAATGTGGTCACAACCTGATGTCTTATGCTGCTGTGCAATTGAGATCAGCTGATGAAGGACAAACTGTGTTTTACACTTGTCTTAAATGCAAGTAAGGGCTACGATAACCTGTCTTATAATTGTTTATTTTGTGAATTTATTGATTTGTAATTTTATCCATTGTTTCTTCTCTTGTTTGCAGATTCACGGAATCAGAAAACTCTTAAAACAATCTCAAAAATCTGTAATCCATTTTTGTATATAACAATCAAGTTAAATAAAGTTATTCTCGTTTTTAAACTTGATTGATTTATTTAATTTAGTCTAAAATTAAATATAGATAGTAAAGCTAGTTAAATATTTATGGTTAAGAAAATGAGCACACCACGCTTTTCAATTTTATTTAACGATAAAAACAATTTATAATTATTAAAACTGAATTCACAAAGAAAATTAATTAATATTTTTATAATTTATTTCAAAACAAAAATAAATTATTCTGCCTAACTATAATTTTCACATTTCTTAACTGTGTTTCATTTGAATGGCGTTATACAGAAAGCAACCATCCCACTAATGTTCTACATGGATATAATTGATGTTTTAGAATAACATCTTTTTTAAATTTGTTTACAGCTCATATGATTTAAAACCAAAATATCTTATTAATTGAATGTATTTATTATTTTAATGACTTACTAATATATTCCTAATACAATCAATACTCACTATTATTTTAATATTTGTGGTTGGTTGTCTTATGATAAATGTAAAAATGTGGTATGGTTGCTTTATGTCGGTTGGTTGTTTTATGATTAATGTAAAAATGTGGTATGGTTGGTTGTTTTCAATGCATGCTATAACATATTTTTTAATCTTTAATAAAATACACTTATGTGACTCACTTTGGTAGTTAACAATTTTATTCATCAAACATAATTTCTTAAACTTTTTTTTTTTTTTATTTAGAAAAAGATATTTACAATCTGTGTTTACATCACAATAAGTAAATTGGATAATTATTTATGTACAATATTTAACTTGAATAATTTGAAGAGGGAGGCCAACCAGTGCTGGAACCCAACGTGCGTTTATTTTAGATTAACAAATCTCTGCAATATTTTCTTTTGAGTCTGTGGGTGGGGTTTATGGGTTGGGTAGATGAGATTTGCGATATTAATGGGTTAGTATGGGAAGGTAGTTTGAAGTAGAAGGATCTGTAGTATTTGGTGGCTAGTTGGTCAACTGACTCAATTTTTAGGTCAGAGTGTAGAGAAGAGTTGGAAACAAACCAAGGAGCAGACGTTGTTATACGGAGGGTAATGGACTGGAATGCTTGTATTGTGCGAATTTGGGACGGCTTAGCACAGCCCCAAATTTGGATTGCATATGCCCATATTGGACGCAAGAGAGATTTGTACATTATAAGTTTGGTGTGCACTGGTAGTTTTGACTTTAAGATCGGACGAAGTAGGTGAAGGCGGCTGTTGAGTGTTTTTCTTTTTTGTTTAAGGTGTAGGCCCCAGGTTAATCTTTTATCAATGATAATTCCAAGATATTTGACATTTGAAGATGATGGTATTTGAGTACCTTGAAAGTGAACAGGTGGGGGTTCTGTTCTTTTTAGAGTAAATGGTGTTTTTGGGTGTGAGGATTTAAATATAGCAGATTGAATTGACGTTACAAGATTTTGAGCAGCGCTTTCTATATCATCCTTACTTTTAAGGGATATATTAAGGTAGGTTGTGTTTTGCATAATTTCGGAAAATTCGTCCCATTTGATCGGGCCTTGAAATAATGATGGATGTGGAGGAGTTGGTTCTATTGATGCAATCGATTTCTTAAACTTAAATAGTAACGTTTATCTCAGTCTTTGAGTTATTTGTTTCAATATCTGTTGTTGCTATATTTTGAACTAACTTTACCATTCGACTGGCCCTTTTAGTTCTGTTTACTTCCATGGTATGTGAGTAACAAGATATAATAATACACTTGAAATCTTACTTATAAATTATTAGAATAACAAATAACGAATAAAATCGTCATGATAAAGAATAAAATATTAAAATTTTAATATTTAAAACAATCCATTGATAATAAAATAATGATTATCAGTTTTTACAGAAAACGACCAAGCCACTTGGATTGATATTATATTAGTATTATTATCAGTCATACCTCCATTACAAAACCACGCGTCATGGATGTATTATGCATTAATTTTTATCGATATAATCATTCAGTTAGTTTTTGAAATATTGATAGATAGCGTTACACTTCAATGTTGGTTTGGTTGTATTTTGCAGAATACGTAAATTGAAATTCTCTATCTGGTTCTACTAAAACCTCGTTTTTCATTAGATTGTGGGATGGTTGCTTTCTGCATAACGTTATTCATTTAGTATTAACAGTATTTTACAATACAGTTTTTGAATCGGTTTTCACTCTCTGAAATAATTTTATATTCTTAAATTTATTTTAAACTATCATTTCTGCACTACGATTTGTTGGATTTTTTCATTATTTGATTCGTTTAAATTCAATTAAAAAATACTGATTAGTGGTATTTATCATTTGAATACCTGTTAATCTACTAATTACATATGAAAAGAAAAAAAATTGAACATTAACCATTAAAAGTCAAATTTTAGTATATTGTTTCTTCCATAAAACCATAAATTTAAATTAAATATTTATTAATATTTTTATTGTACATAATTATTCTATTTGTAAGTTCTGCATGTTTATTATATTATTAGATAAGTGTATGTTTATTCTAAATGCTAACCATAATGTGGTTAATATTGAACTAATTTTAAGAAAGATTAGATAACTCTAGTATTTGTGGTTATTAGGTATTTAATGATCTTTTAGCATTTTTTATAACGACTATTGAACAATTAATATTTATAATTTTTATTAGTATGATACATATTTTTGTTAGGATATGAATATCAGTAATGAAAAAGTAATTTTATAAATAATAAATAGGAAATAGTTTCGTCATAGAATGTAGAAAATACAACCAACAAAACACATAACCCATATACACACAATAAACAAGTTAGAAATTTAGAACAGAATATAAAAAATAATCCAAACAACGTAAATATAAACCATCAAACCAACTTTATACTATATTCAAACCATTTACTTGTACCACATTTTGTATAGATCGTAAATAAAGCTTTTTCAACTAAAAACTATTAAAAAAAAAAGTACACAATGTGTTACACTTGCAATATTTTGTATTCAGTTTTTTGAGTTTACGGAGAAACGGTATGCAGTTTATAGACAATGATAATATAATCTCTTGCCCACAATGATTTAATAATAATCATTCTCATCTATAACAATATTGTTTCTTACCACATTGTTACCCACATCACTTTTCAAATTCCCAAAGATGTTAGTTGTGTTTGTAAGCTTCTAATAAAACCATGCACAATAATTTTTACACTTGTGTGGCTTAATATTAACGACCAACATCATTAAAATGAACAATAAATGGATGTATAACTATTATTTACATCATAGTGATCACCCATAATCATACTCTAGCATTAATTAGTATTAATAAAATTGTTTATCCGTACAAAAAAAATAGCTAATATCAGTAGAAACCATTTTTCATTTTGTTATCAATTAATAAGCCAGTTTAATTAAATGCAGATTTGAAGATTGATGTCACTTTTAGTAATTAGCCATCGTCTTTACTCGTAATCCAATCATTAAACAAACTATCAGGATATTGAGTAAATCATCATATAATACTTGCTATGGTCATTGGTCAAACGTATATTTTTTAATAACAAAAGTATCACATCAAAGGTAACACACAACTCACCATTCCTCATCGATTTTTCCCTTATTTAGGTTCATTAGCACTAAAATCATTAATTATTGATGTGTATTTAACAAATTAAAAAAAAGCCAATTTCAAAGGTTGCACAATCTTTATTCAAATCATCTGTACAGAAAGTGTATTTTGACAACATTAAATACTCAACCTTAAGATACAGAATAAAGAGTGGTGGATGATTTAAGGAAATACTTAATAAGTAACAATTTGTTCGTTTTATGTACAAAAGTTATTCCATGTATATTTAAAATCTGCAAAACTCGGAAACACACCTTATACAACAACTAGAAAATATTCCAAGCAAACTTCTACATGTATAGATATAATGAATGTTAAATAAATCAAACAGATTTAAATAAATTACCATGTAGTAATAAATTTTGGAACAAAATTGAAAAAAAAAAAGAAAAAAAAAGAATGGACAAATCAGTCTCAAAATAATATAACAATAAAAATATAGGAAATGTTCTTTCAAAATAAATTCACTTAGTGAGATAAATTAATCGACTTCTTCCATGCGAGAAGAATCTTCAGCATCAGCTTCAACAACAGGTTCAGCCTCGACTTCAGCAGATTTGTCTTCGGCTACTGGCAGATCTTCATCAATGCCCAAACCCAATTTGATCATTCTGTGGATTCTGGAAGCGTGGACCTGTGGGTCTTCGAGTCCAAAACCAGACGACAACAAACTTGTCTCGAACAAGAGCATGACCAAGTCTCTGACAGCCTTGTCATTAGAATCAGCTTCAGCCTTTTGTCTGAGTGTCTCGATGATCGGGTGGTCAGGGTTGATTTCCAAATGTTTCTTGGCAGACATATAACCCATGGTAGACGAGTCTCGGAGGGCCTGTGCCTTCATGATACGTTCCATGTTGGCAGTCCAACCGTACTGAGATGTGACGATGCAACACGGTGACTCGACAAGTCTGTTACTGATGACGACTTTCTCAACTTTCTTGTCCAAAATGTCCTTAACAACTTTGCACAATTTCTCAAATCTGGATTGATCTTCCTCGCGCTTCTTCTTTTCTTCGTCAGTTTCAGGCAAGTCTAGACCTTCTTTGGTGACAGATACCAAGTTCTTGCCATCATATTCCTTCATCTGTTGGACGACGTATTCGTCAATGGGTTCAGTCATGTAGATAACTTCAAAACCACGCTTCTTAACACGTTCAACAAACGATGAGTTGGATACTTGTTCACGGCTTTCACCAGTGATGTAGTAAATGTGTGTTTGGTTTTGCTTCATACGCGCAACATATTCTTTCAAGGAACATGCTTCGTCGCCACTGGCCGAAGAGTGGAATCTCAACAGGTCGGAAAGTTTCTTTCTGTTTTGGCTGTCTTCGTGGATTCCAAGTTTCAAGTTCTTGCTGAACTGTTCGTACAATTTCTTGTAGTTATCCTTGTCTTCAGCCAATTCTTCGAATAATTCCAAACACTTCTTGACCAAGTTCTTTCTGATTACCTTCAGGATCTTGTTTTGTTGGAGCATTTCACGAGAAATGTTCAATGGCAAATCTTCGCTGTCAACAACACCCTTGATGAAGTTCAAATATTCTGGCATAAGATCTTCACAGTTGTCCATGATGAACACACGACGAACATACAATTTAATATTGTTCTTCTTCTTCTTGTTTTCAAACATATCATAAGGCGCGCGCTTGGGAATGAACAACAATGCTCTGAATTCAAGTTGTCCTTCAACAGAGAAGTGCTTGACAGCCAAGTGATCTTCCCAATCGTTAGTCAAGGATTTGTAGAATTCACCATATTCATCTTGACTGATATCATCTGGGTTGCGGGTCCAGATCGGTTTTGTCTTGTTCAAAATTTCTTCATCCAAATACTTTTCTTTAATGGTCTTCTTCTTTTTCTTGTCTTTATCCTCATCTTTCTTGTCTTCGTCTTCATCTTCACCGACATCCTCGATCTTGGGGGTCTTGTCCTCTTCTGTTTCAGCTTCACCCTCCTTCTTTTCTTCTTCAGCTTCGTCATCACTGACTTCCTTGGTACGTTCGTTTTCAACAATCAATTTAATCGGATAACCAATGAATTGAGAGTGCTTTTTGATAATGCCAGTGATCTTTTCTTGTTGAAGGAACTCAGCTTGGTCTTCTTTGATATGAAGGACAATCTTAGTACCACGGCCCAATGGTTCACCAGGATCAGAACGGATGGTGAATGAACCTCCAGCAGCAGATTCCCACAAGTATTGTTCATCGTCATTGTGCTTGGAAACAACAGTAACTTTGTCGGCTACCAAGTAGGCGGAATAGAAACCCACACCAAATTGACCAATCATAGAAATATCAGCACCAGCTTGTAAAGCTTCCATGAAAGCCTTGGTACCAGACTTGGCAATGGTTCCCAGGTTGTTGACTAAATCAGCTTTGGTCATACCGATACCACTAAAGAAAAAATGTCATGTGTTAAAAAAGTTGCCAACATTAAACCCCATTTGAATGAACACAAATAAAAATACTTACGTGTCAATAATGGTCAAAGTCTTCTCTTCGGCATTGGGGATGATTTTGATGTGCAGGTCTTTGCCAGATTCCAATTTAGATGGATCAGTCAATGACTCGTAACGAATCTTGTCCAATGCATCAGAGGAGTTGGATACCAATTCTCTCAAAAAGATTTCTTTGTTCGAGTAGAAGGTGTTGATGATGAGAGACATAAGCTGAGCAATTTCAGCTTGGAAAGCGAAGGTCTCAACATCTTCAGATGGAGTCATGGTAACGTCTTCAGGCATCTAAAATAAATTATTTCAGATTAATAAACTTGAAATCGTAGAAGAAAAAATCGGAAATGAAGTATGAACTATGTAAATCAAACAAGTAGTATGCTATTGAGTCAATAACAACGCGCATTTGACAAGAACGAATTAAAAATTTTTTTTAAAACATTAATAAGGTACGTCCCTAATGAAAAACTTAAATAACACGATTTTCAAGATAAAATTATTAAATACCTTAGAAAAATTTAAAAGATCAAAAAAATTACTTCGAATAAATTGTAAGTTGTAAAAAAATTTAATTATGAACGAGAGGGTAAATAACGAACTACGCTGAAGTATAAAAATGAAGTGAACATGTAAAAATAAAACAGAACGCGACAATAATAAAACGAATTGTTTTAAAAAAAAATTAAAAGTTAACGATTAACAATAAATGCCAATAACTAGAATTTCAATTGAAAACATAATCAGTGTACTTACGATTTAATGTGTATATATGATCGCAATAGGAATGAAATAAACACTGCAAGCAGTTAATCGCCAAATTAGTGTTGATCAAAATCGCAGGCTGTTCGCGTGCGTGCTGAGGATTCGACAACGAGCTCCAAAATGACACCCTAAAAGAGGCGGCGCACGGTATTTATAACCTCCACCGGCCGCCGGGCCGAAGATTCGCGAACGTTCTACCGGCTCTGAGGCAGCGCGTTGGTCAAAACCGGCGTGCAGACGGTGCAACATAGCACGTGGTGAAGCGAACGGCAAACGGTGCCGGGTCGTGCACGGCGCGCCGGCCGTTTGGTGCGCAGCAACCAAACGATACGCAGCGGACCGTGATGCGCGAACGGCGGTGCGGCGGTTGCCCGGAGACCGGGCGCTTTGACTAACGTCACGTCGACTTGCGTTTTCCGTCGGTCGGGTGAACGTCGAGAATCTTCTAGAACATTCTATGAGTTGCCTGCTGTATACAGGACGATGCAGTAACAATCGTTTTTCTTTTGTCTGCAGATTTTCGAATCAAAATAAGTTTTTAACTTTTTCCGATAGATTTTTTTTCGACAATTTCATCTATTTGATGACGACCGTGATATCAACTTGAAACGTCGTCGGCCGATATTTATCATCGTATTCGACTTTCCAGTTTTCCACATTATGTCGTATTCTCCGAACGAATTTTTTCCGTGCATATTTTTCACAATTTAACAAAACTTTCAAGTTCTACGATTGATTGTACAGCGATTTCACACGTCCTCGGTTTGCTGATAAATTTTAAACAAATTGTCGTTATATTATTGCGCCGGGACGCTGCATTCACATAGCATACCGGCGCGAAATATCTACTATTTCAAATCAAATTAATATTTATAAATTTAGATCATTCGTTTATTTTTTTTTTTTTTTTTTTGAACAATTTTACACAAACCCAATTCAAAGCCCAAATGTTGATATTATAAAACTGCGAATAATATATAATGTTATTTATATACAGAACGTCGGCAACCGCGGTTTTCCCGGGCAACCGGATTATTTAACTTGAAATTTGGATTTAATTATTTATTAAAATTTGGCACCCGTTAGTACATACTAAATATTCTATTCAATCTGATTGTCAAAACTTCATTAAAAACTATCACAGATTTTCCGTCCCACGGGTACCATTTTTATCAATTGTTCCGATAAGAATATGAAATTTTAAATTTGGAACTTGAGAAAAACCTTATAAATGTACTACTATATATAGTATGTACATGTATTATTATTATGTGATAGCTTATAATAATGACGTATTCATGTGGAATTCGTTTTAGCCGTATCTTATCAAGACATAGGTGTAAAATTGTATAAATATAATATTATAGATTTTTAAAAATATCAGACAATAATACTTTATATTACACTGCTGTTAGAATGTGTACCTGTACTGTATGGCGTATACGATAAACATCATACAGTTTTAAATATTTTTTATTAATTAGGAATTTTTGCAATACCTTCCATATAATTAATAAATACAGAACGAGAACAACAATGCAAATAATTTAATCATGATTGACGAGTACAATTACAAAATAATATTAAATAGTGGATTCAAAAGTTGGCTTTTGTAATATAAAATAAGTATATTTTATTTGTTTTGTTTAAAACTTCAATGTATTGTTGTATAAAAGGTCGTGATGGTGATTTCCCTGACCAAATTCGTCCAGTTATTGTTATTATTGTATATTATAGTACTGTTCTTCTAGAATATTCGCGATTCTACGACAAAACATGGGCATCTGTCCGTGTGACTTTGTTTAAATAAATAGATACGAATAATCTGTAGACCATACACACACTTATATTTTTTTTTATTATTCGTATTCAAATTTCTGAAAAATTAACTTAAGTCTAACTTTAAATTGGCTTTTTCCTTATTATAAATTATTTATCTCGAGCAGATATTGTTAATAATATGAACACACTTCGGTATGGACGAATAGATGATCACACGATTTTGTATTTGAAACACAAGTAATAATTTCCAAAACAATTTATGACATTTTGATAATAGTATCCTATTATTTTATTAGCATTCAACATTCCGTTTATTATTCGTTATTTGGATCAGTGTATTAAAAAAAAAAAATTCGCGTCCTAGTATTTCTACGTAGACTGAGGATATGATTTTTTTTTTTTTTGTACGATATAAATTTTCTAACTTTAACTATCAATTTGCATTTTTTTTTATAAATAAACCATTATCATCTGTTCATTGGTATTAACCTAATTAGAAATTACACCACATCATAATATGTAGATATTAATAATATGTTATTATATATGTATTGTATTCTTCGCGATTATACCTTACTGCTAAAGGTTAAACACCGTACGTCATGTAATTACAAATTATAATTTAATATGAATGTATTATTTACTTAGGTCATGTCGTATTTTTAAACGAACCTATAGATTAGTTTTACTGCTATGTCTATGGGCACGATTTAACAATATTTAAGACATAGCACATCTATTGATGGTGTTTTTCGTATTGCGGTGAATAAGACGTGTAGACTGAAACACGCGTCTTTCGTTCACTCTGTATACTGTATAATAGTTGGTCGTCCAAAACACGTGGAAATGAAACACCACTAACATTTTATTATTATTTATGGCGATATTTATCGTTAAAGAAGGAATTGGGTGACGAGAATCGTCGATTAAAATAAATTGTAAGACATCTGTCAATAGGATAAACCAAACATTGAAAATTTACTAAGTTTGTTCTAAGTTCTAACCCTCCAAATAGTCAAACCCCAAAATACTTGGTTTAAAATTCAAATGTAATTTAACTTAGATAGCGCTAAATAGGCGTACCATATTGTATAATATCTAATCTCGGTTTTTTTTTTTGCACTGAGTTACCCACTTCCGATAGTTGAATATACCGTTTATAAATTTATAACCGACAAAACAAACATTTCAATTTTTGAAGTATATGGTTATAAATTATAATAAACCATGCATGTAATTTCCTCAGACAAACACTGCAGTCTATGCCATAGGTATTAGAGCTTAATTAGGATTTATCTATCTATTCGGTATTCAACAGTTTGTCACATAGATATGTATCATAAATCATAATGTTATATACTTAAAGTTATTTATAATTATTACATTTTGTTATTAAATCTTATAAAATATAATATAAAATAAATAATAAAAATAATTATATCGATAGAATTCTGGGTTATAATTTAGAGCAATATTATAATTAATTTTATTTAGTTTTAAGAATAACACCTTTAACGTCTAATCTCTAATATCATGTCCATAATTATTATGATTTTGTATCTTTAAATTTTTAGCCATAAGTAGGGCTCGAACTTAATGCACTTAAAAAGTATTAAATATGCATATACTTATGCGCTTATAGTACAAAATAAACACTTATTTTTTTTTCTATTCACGATTTTCACAAATAGAAATATAAAATATTTATATACTTAATAATTTTTACTAAATATTTATTAATAAAAACAGAAAATTGTACGTCAACTAGGGATTTGAATAACACAATACAACAATACTTGGAGAAAACCCTCTGAATTATTATACATTATGCATTATTAAATACTTTTTTCTTTCTTTTTTTTTTTGTAAAATTTTCAAATTGTATAATAAACTTATCAGTTATCATTAATCATCAAATATGTCTTGAAAAATGGTAAAATTGAAAAATATGCTCTTAAAATTACAATATCACTAAGTAAATATTAAAATCTTATAATATTTTTTTCATAATGTCGTGAAATTAATTTCAAGCTTACTTAGCAATAAATCTGATAGCCACAAAAAAAAAAAAACACCCAAATGCATTAATTTCCGAACCCCCTAGTCATAAGTATTAAGCAAAATAATTTTTTTACTATAAATTTTAACTAATAACTACCACAGTTTGAAAAAGTGTTAAGTAATATAAATAATATTTATATAATTTTTAATAATTGTAATGTGATAAACAGGGGCGGATTTAAGGCACTACGATTTATGCGGCAAAATTGTATTGAATATTTTTTTTTTATTTTATATAATAAGCTTACATAATTTTTAATTTATTTTACCATTTCAACATTCTGAACGGTACCTATATTATTTGAATTTGTATTCGTTTATTTTTAGTAAAGAAATATTTTTGTTTTCCCAGGAACTCGTCGATTGTGTTTTATTTTAGCTTATCTAATTGCTTATAAAATTTAGATATAAAATATACGTTATATAAACATTCGCTTTGTAGAGATCGTGATGTAGGTATTCTATAATATTAAACTTTATTTAACAGTTCGATTCTAAAGTTTATCGATATTCGATTTAAAATAGAATTAGTTGATAGTTGTCCGTCCACCAATAAGTATACACGAAATTATTGATTTTATAAAGTTTTTTTTTTTTATACATTTTTCCTTTAAAAAAATAAATAGCAGATTTTATATTTGAATCAGAACGTTTTCTTTTTAAACGTAACTCGGATAAAAAATGAAATGCGTAACTATTGAGAAAATAAATAAATTTAACGAAATTTAGTAATACGTCATTTTTTTTTTTTAAGGTAAGAGCAGTGAATTGTATTTGCCATACCTAGCCTATAAGAGCAACAAATCGTTAAATCCGCCCCGGTCATAAATTAATGTTTGTATCGTGGGTACTATATTTTTACTCATCAACATTTATGTATCTATAATTTTTGCTTATTTAACCAAGTTAGACCACTGGATTGAAGCAAAATATTTTCATTAATGATAGAATTATAATGTGTTTTAACTAATAATATATTGAAAAAAAGCATAATTTTTTATCTGGCATTTGTTGATGTCTAAAGTTTAGCGGAATTCCAATCGCCAATTTAGCAAATAGCAATAAATTCAAATCATTTAAAATATAAATGTTTAACCCGTATCAGATTGACACTTAACTATATTAATAATATTACTGAAATCACAAAATTTAGATAAGTGATTTCAGCATTGGCGTTATGACATTTTATGAACTCTATATTTGTTTTAAATTTATTAAATAGTTTGCAATTCTATGATACATATCATATGTGCATATTGTAAAATTGACTAAACCATAAAAAAATATATGTTGTTTTGAACGTTTGAACATACCACAAAAACTTTTGACAAAGTTCACAAATTTACCATACTGTACATTTGTATTCAACAGAACTAATTTTGCTGTTTGTTGACCTATTATCAAACTTTAAGAAAATAACATTAATGGTATTATATATTGAATTATTAAAATACAAGCATTTTTAAGTAAGTTATGAACATATTGTGAAAATTAATATTTTTTAAATGATCATAACTCAATAAGCAATTTAAATGTCGTGAAAAAAAAACCAACTTACAAACCCAGACATATTATCAAGTTTTGATAATAGGTTTATTTATTTTAATGTTTATGTTCACAACATAAAATTGATTCTGTTGTACCTGTACAAGACAACCCACAACATTATTATAAAAATCAAGTAAATTTAATATTTCAACTAGTGTAATTATTGACTTACGGCTACTCAAAATTGATTTCATTTGTTTTTATTTTAGTTAAAATGTTTAAAATTTATAATAAATTTCTCTAGAAATAAAACATAATTCATAATAATGTCATAAAAAAATTTATTTTCATACAAACAATAATGTAATAACATAACATATTTTTATTACAAACAAAATTTATAATTATTAAGATGTTTTATTTGATTTAAATTTTTTTCCCTCTTTATTTTTTTTTGTTTTAGTTGTAGGTTTATTTTTATGAATTTTATCATTTTTAAAGTCATTGTGGGTTCCTCCAAGTTTTCTACTAAACATCTTTTTGCCTACATCTCGTTTATGTCTTTTATCTTTGTTTTTCAAAAAGTCTCTTAATATATCCCTTCTCTTAATAAATCTTGGATCTTGACTTCCTGTATAATTGATTTTATTAAACTGAGGATCATAAAATTCTTGAGCATCTAAAATAATAAATAATAAAATATTAAAAATAATTTATCAGTCATACAATATTATGTTAATTTGTTACCTTTGAATCTAGAATCATCTACTTTGAAAAAAAAGACTTCTCGCCAAACACCTCTAGATCCTAAAAATTTTCCTGAAGGCACTTCATTAGTCTTAGTATCAAAATGTTTTTCTTTATCTTCAAAATTGTTTTCTTCACTTTCTGAGTCACTAGAGTCATCAATAAATGGATTTCGACCAAATGTTTTTTGAGGTTTAGATATTTTTTCTGATAGATATTCATTTTTGTCTACATCATAATCATCTATAAAAAAAAAGTTAATAATACATAAAATTATTTGTTAAAATATAATATATTACACTAAAATATTTTATAGGCGTATTTCATGGGAACTTTGTGAAATTAATGTTTTCATGAAAAATTGTTCAGTACATGAAATGGAAAATCGTTTCATTTTGAGAAATAAAATATTCACTGCACATAGTATATATTAATATATATATTTATTATATTTTATTTTTGACATATTTAGTACAATACAAAATTTTATACAAATTGTATATTTAAATATTAACAGTTAAGTTATAATATTAATTTTTTATACAAAAAATATAAATAATTATTGATTAAAGATATGCAAAATTAATTTTATATAAATATACAATAACCTGTTTTAATTTTGCTTATTTAAACAAGACTATGATTTATTTAATAGCTGTTATACTTCACATCTCCAATTCAAGCACATCATCAAGATTTACAAGCATTTTTACATGAAAAACTTAGGTAGAGAACTACTGACTTTCTGACACAACATGGATAGTTTTATATAAATAATTAAATAATATCGATACAATAATCTAAGTATTTGAAATGTGTAAATTTTATTATTTATGATATGTCATATTCAAGTGTATAGTTGCTGTTTATATCACATTATATTAAGCAATATTCACATTTTTCAAATTTAGGAGTACACAGCATCGCATCATGCTACTATAAATTTTATTTCAAAAGAATATTTTCTAATAATCAACATTTCAAGTTATAAAACGGGATAGGGGTTCCCAAATAAACGATATATAACATATGTTAATCAAAACAACTGTTAAAATGGATAGCATGACATTTTTTTATAGTTGATAATATTACTTAAAGTGGCTTAAGTAAATAAACTATTGAATTATTATAAAAACTTATTTTTTAATAAATATTAAAAAAAAAAATTATAGCATGTATAATAATATGATTTAAATAATTATGAATATTAAATTGTGTGGAGTAAATATTTTATTTTATAAGGTATAAGTGACTATTTTGTGAAACAGCCATTTACAATTCATAATATAAAAAAACTTTTTATGGAAAAAATTAATTTAACAAAATGACTACGACATATAGAGAGAAAATAATTTTATGTAACAACTTTATAAATGGAATTTATTTTTCTCTGTTTATGGAATGTTGTAATCAAATGGTAAAACACTAAGTGGTATACAAGTAATTAAGGTTAAGTTATAATTTTTTGGAACAAATCTAGTTTAGTACCCATCAACATTTTTCATTTTATTTTTTTTAAGCCTTAGGTAAATTAATGTTTTAAAAGTGACAAAACAAATAAAGATTGAGAGAAATCATTAGTCTTTAAATTATAGCCTTGAGAATTTTATGATTTCTGGTTATAACGTATAGACACAATAATGCTCTAATTGCAAATTTCATGAAATTTTTATTTTTTAGAATACAAACTTGCTTGTCAAAATAACAATATCTAACTAACAACAGTTTTAATGTTAAGATGTATAACATAACATACATTATATTCACAATCTATACTAATTTTTAAGTGTTATAACTCAAAAATTAAATTTGACCACTCAATTCTAATTACACCATCATTCTCAGTGTAAAAAATAATTGCAGAGGTTCAATTTTAACAATTGTGAGATAAAATCACAATTTTTTTTATTCAACTCACTTTTATCAGAAGTTGAAAATAAGCTGGAAAAGCTAAATTGATTTTGAGAATTAAATACATCTTTTAGTTTATCGCCAACTTTATAATATTTTGTTGTATCAACAACTGCTTCAGCTACAACTTTGTTCTGTTCTACTTTTTGTTTTTTCGGTCGTTTTTGTTTTGGTAAATCTGGTTTATCTTTTATATATTTTTTATGTTCTTCTTGTGTTGGATCATATCTCACCATATTAAATCTAAATCATAAAAATAATTGTTAAACATTTACTATGTTGTTTAGTAAATTAGTTTATAGGATTTGTTCTGATAACCTATTATTGAAATTAATATTTATTAAAGACAAAATAAATGTATAAACGAAAAATCCTTGTTTACTTGAACACTAACATCTTAATATCGTTGATATTTCAATCAAACAACTTGAATTTAAAAAAAAAAAAACTTCGGTCTTATGTTTTTTAGTTAATGTAACAAAATTATTTGTTCAAATTAATCTTTATCCTTTTTTAATTTTAAGTTATTAAGAATCTTAATTTTAATCTAATTTAGTTTAATAGAAATAAATGTTGATTTTTGAGAAAAAAATTTTTTATGAGCTTAATTTAGTTAATATAATAAAATTGTAATATTAACAATTATAGTATAATCAGAATTTAGAGGTTGAAGCTAATTAAAAAGTTCTGACAATTTAAACTTGAATATTTTTTGCTATATAAAGTACAAAATAAAGTACCAAATTTTGTAATTTACAATTTGTTTTATGGTTTATTATAATAAAAATATTAAAATACCTTGGAAATGAAAAAACACAATTGGTGGGGTAACTAAATTAGATTTGTTTCAAATACTCTTACATTTCATCTCCTTTAGCCTTATTAGGTTTGGTAATTGATCGTCCAATCACATTTTCCAAAATATTCATTTGTTTTTCTATCTCATCATCGCTCAATTTTTCAGTAGTTTCTTGTTCTTCAAAAAATCGTTTGTCCATTACAAATCGGTCATCACCAGTAGCTTTAGAAGTTTGCATATGGAATAACTAATACAATACATAACAATTCATTTAAAATAAAATATTAACTATTGTATGAAAAGTATATTTTTTTAAATTTTGTATTGTGACTTGAAAGTAAAAAATATATACATATATGTATACATGATAAAGTAACAATATCTACTTAAATATGTCACCTTTTTGCCTTTTTCACCTTCAAATCGTAATTTTAGCTTGAAATCTGATACTAACTCTCCTTGATTTTCATGATCACTGGTATTATCATCATCATCAAACAATGACATTTTTTGTTTAGATACTTTGAAATCATTTTTTTGTTGATCACCATCTTCATCAAATTTTATTTTCTTGTTCAATGATTCTCCCTATAGAAATACAATTATGATTAGACTTTTAATTATTTATTTTGAGTTTCAGATAAGATCAATTTCTTGCTACCACTAAAACCAATTAACTTTGATAAATTACATTAATTTATTAATAATACAAATTTAAAAGTTATGATATAAAAAGAAGTTTATCTTTATAAATAGAACATTTTTATTTTTATCAATAACATTAAACATAGCGATAGAAATTAAGTAAAATTAACCTAAAATGGCTAATGCCACTTATTTGGAAATCAAGAAGTAATGTCTAAATTTCAAAATTTGATATAATATTTCATGTAGGTTCTAGTATAATTTTTTAAAGTTTAACTGTCTTATTAAATAAATAAAAATAAAAATAATTTTTAAATAATTATTATAGAAGTAATATTTGAAAAATATTTGATAATTAAAATAACTTTTATCCTTCTATATGTTTCAAATTAATTTACTAAATCTTACACAATGAAAATAAAATATGAATCATGTATTAACATTACATAATATACAATTATTTGTTAGTAAATACATACAATATAAACTGAACATCTATGAAAAATTGTTTATTAACATAAACAATATATTTTAAGTAAATTAGGCTTATTAAAAAATTTGAATTTGCAGAACTAATAAGCTTTGAATTGTTGGATTTATTAAATGAAAATAAAGAAATCTCTAAATAACTAACAGTTAAATTGTAAAATAATTTAAATAATAACTATTTATCCAGCTAGTTAATGAATAAATACAAGCTTGAATCAAAACAATTAAAATATTATGGATAACACACATTTTGAAAATAGTACTCTAAAATGTACCTTTAGTGCATTTGCAATTGTACACTTTCGGTCTTGTAATGTTTTCCATTTTTCGGCCAATGCATTCTGGCGTTTAGTTTCGGATTGTTCGGTGTTGACAACATTTTTTACATCTAAACGAATAAAAAACACCAATGAAAAATAACACCTAATGAATGCTGAATGAAACAAGTTCGTATGTTTTTATATATTACCTTTTTTTTTAGTTTTTACTACTGAACCGATTCCTTGGAAGGCCGGTAGATTCCTTCTGCGGGTTATTTCTATTTCGTCACCTTTCAAGTTCATTATAAAGGGTTTCGTCAAAATTCTTTTAATGGCTGACAACAAGGCACAATCAGTTATCGTTAAATGCTCGACATACTAATAGGTATTTTAAATTTCAATATGAAAAAAAACAATGCGGTTTTATTTACAGTTTACATGCATGAGTGATAACGTTTATCAGACAACCTGAATGAGTTGAAGTTATAAACGTCGGTAGTATAATATACTATAACCGTGGTTGTGTTTAAATACCGTTTAATATTATAACCACAAAATTGAAGTTATTAACCGGCCACCGAGGCATGATTGTACCATTGTGAAGTCTGGACATTTTGTACTTTGACACTTTGGTTTTGCTTCTCGTCTGATTAACGTCTTCGAAAGGACCGCCTTTTCGGTTCTCTACCAGTACAAATTTTTTCCGAAGCAACGCCCACCAAACAACGGTCAGTACAACAATATATTATTCTGCAGCCGTTTTTATTTCCTTTTCTTTATTATTCACGAAATCTGATCTCATTGCATTCCTTCGCTGTCTATAACCTCGCAGCCATTACTTAGTTTTTAACACCCCGGCAGTTTCCTCGCTTGTTTTACATGTTCATTTGCTCGATACTAACAGCGTTTCAAATCCTCATCAGACTAGTCATGGGTGATCCAAACGCCGAACGTACTTTCATCATGATCAAACCCGACGGTGTACAGCGTGGACTTGTTGGCAAGATCATCAAACGTTTTGAGACCAAGGGATTCAAACTGGTCGCCATGAAATTCGTCTGGGTGAGTTAGAAAAATGGTAGTCCGGCTGTATAATACAATTTAACATATTAAAGTTTTTCTTACTAAAACGGTTTTTGTCAATTTAAACTCAATGAAATATCATTTTATGATTATTTACAATCGATATCTAGTTATAGAATAGTTCCAACAATGTGTTTTTTCTCATCACTTAGGTACCAGAAATAATATCAGTGTATTACATTTTAGGTTATGGTAATGTAAACATATAAATTTAATTTGATTTTCCAGATTAAGATATTATTATCTTAGATTTTGTTTATTAACATGAATTAAATTATATATTTAGTATTAATTGTAATATTTGTTTTATTAAACCTTGGCTATTTGTTATTGTAGAAGTATTTAATTAAATTATTTTTTAACAAATTTAAACTAGATTACCTAAAATTACTTTAGACTAATTTTAATGCCATCAAAAATGAATTTAATTTAATTTATTAGAAGAAAGAAATTTTAGATAGTTTTAAATTCTTTTATATCTTTACTTCTCCATTTGTATTGATTATTGTTAAAATTTAGCAATTTCTCCAGTAAAATATACAGAATAAATTGAAAAAAAATAATTTTACCCAAAATAATTTCGGTTTTTATTATTGATTGATGAATACTACTATTTTTGTCATACATTTTGGAATTTACATGTCTGTTGAAATTATAAAATATATGGTTGTATATTGGAACTTGTCCAATTGAGATTTTTTTTATAGGTACTAAAATTAATTTGATTATTTCTGGGCTCTGAATAAAATTATATATTTAAAATTTTGTGCTGGTAAGGTTTGGTCAGTTATTTAATAATTATAAAATTAAACATTTTTATACAAATAAATTTACATTTGTTTGAAGTATTTTAAACAATAATATAAATTAATTCTTGAAACTTATGTATAAGTCACTTTTGTTTTTTAAATTTTATTATTATTACTATAAATAACTGTTTAAAACTTGTTTTTATGTAGCCTTCTGAAGAATTGTTGAAGAAGCACTATGCTGATCTTTCCAGTAAAGCATTCTTCCCTGGTCTTATTAAGTACATGTCATCTGGACCCGTTGTCCCCATGGTAAGTTCTATTACATTCTATTACACTTAATATATTATAACTAACTAAAATTATAAAATTTTAGGTATGGGAAGGATTAGATGCTGTGAAAACTGGACGTTTCATTCTTGGTGCTACTGATCCAAAAAACTCAAACCCTGGTACAATTAGAGGAGATTTATGCATCCAAGTTGGCCGTTAAATATATTATAATGATTTTTAAAATTTATTTTACAGTTATATCTTATAAATTTATAGTAATATCATTCACGGATCGGATGCTGTAGAATCTGCTAACAAAGAAATTGCATTGTGGTTCACTGAAAAAGAAGTAGTCCCATGGACAAAGACTATTGACTCATGGGTCTATGAATAAATACATTAAACATTGTATTAATATTTAAGTAAATGCGAGCTTAAATAAAACCCACTTTAGGGTTGTGTACTTGTAATTCATCATTTTAATAAATTCATTGATATAAAATATTTAGTTCTATTGCTTGTAATTATTAAACATTTCAATTATAAATCAACTCGTGTTATCTGTTTCGCTCAAATTAAAATCAAATTTGAGCTGAAAACAGGTTTGCACTACAATAGAGCTCGCCTCCTCTGTAGTACTGACTAAAGCTATTGGATTGATATCAGTGAGTCAGCCCTAATATTTCCAGCCCTCGCACTTTTTGAAATCGGTTAGAGTGAACTTGGGGTTGAAAAAAATAGTTTTTTTTTTGTTTTACACAATTTTTTGTAATGTTTTGAACAATAATTCATTAGAATGCTTAGTTTCAATTGTCATTTAAAGGTACATTATAAACTACGAAATAATATCATTCCTTATATTATTTATGTTACGGTGGTGTATATCGTGATCTAAAAACAATGTGTGTATTTCATAGAAAAAATGTTTTGTAAAATTTTAAACAGTTATGTTTAAAATGTTTTAATCAAAACCACTTTTTAAAATACATTCCAACTTTTGGTGGACCTGACATTGATAGGCAATAGGAATTATTAAAAGAATGCCTGTTATCAATAAATTAGTTAATGTTTAACAAGTAATGTCTATAACTATATAGTTTTAAACGTTTCAATATTGATTTAAACACATTAATCGTAATCAATAATGTACTTAAACAATAAATATTTCAGCCTACAATCATGAATTCATAAATTTAATATAAATTACACCTAATTTGATGTTTGAAAATAAAATATATTAAAAAAAAAATAGTTAAAATTCTTTACAATTAAAACACTGTTAAAATCTTGTTAAATGATAGGTACTCTAAATGGTTAACACGTTTGATTTCATACAAAACACATTACTTTTTGAATTGTTTATTAGATGTATTTTTAATTTTACAATATTCCTCCTTGGTAAGATCTGTTACTTCATATTTACTACATATTCTTTTAGCTTGATACAAACCGGTGTGCTATTAGAACAAATTAAAATTTTATTAAGTACCAGAATAATGTTATTCATTAGACGTTAAAGCAATTTTATACAAGAATTTGTTCAGGATTGGATTTAAATTCGGGAAACTTATAATGAGATATTATCTTAATATTTAATCGAAAACTACGACCATAGTCCGTAGATTAAATACTAAATTTGAACGTTGAATACTATAAAATATTTAATTAAGACAATCGTGACAACAGTTTTCCTTGTAACGCGTAACGAAATACTGACAGTCCAGTAAGGCGTAAGGCGCTGTACATCGAAAGTCGTGCGTGTATTTTTATAGCCAACATCTTATCCTTAAAAAGCAATTTTTGATGGCCCGCACAAAGGTGGTTAATTTTTGTGTTTTACTTTTGTTCAATAACATTTTTCATATAATTTCCAATATTATATAATTCTTTTTCCTTTATAAATAAAATCTAATCTAACCGTTTCATAATAGCAATACAATTATAAGTATTATATCATAATATGTAATTTTTTTTTTAATGTGGCCCTTGATGAACAATTGAAAAAAAAAATGGCCCGTGTGGTTAAAAAGGTTGCCGACCCCTGCTTAAAACGATTAACTTAGCAAAAAGATTTAACCATAGTCTAGTCAGAATCAACTACGCTACGTTATAAACGAGTTATGTATTTAGTTTTATGGGATGTGATGACATACTTCACGTACTAATAATGTACATTAAAATATACTAAATCAGAAAAAGTTTCGTAATCATTTGGTTTTGTTTTATTGGTATCTATTAAACTTGTTATAATAAATGTATGTAGATGCAATTTATTTATAAATTATGTGAAAATACACGGATTTGTTGACTGCTAATTTAAGGTCCAGTCTGTGTTTTTTTGACTAACAAGATATTGCTTCGTAATCATCGAAATGTAAGTAAATGCTATAATTTAATATTTATTGTCGCTACAAACAATTTAACACTTTCAGCATTTGTCCCTTTTATCAGTCTTGCTCCCTAGTCCCTACCTATAATTAAATTTTACTGTAGAATAATTAACTTATTGCTTATCTAGTAAACATAAGATGTTATTTATCATTAAGATTAACAAGTTTATGTTGGTTTGACTAAGATCTTGTCAGCAAAATAGAAATAATTATTGTAAAAACATTAATAGGTTATTTTTGTTTTTCAGTGATATTTATTAATTTCATGGAAAAATCATTTCAAGCGATAGGATAATCAAAAAGGCCGCAGACGGCTGACGCACTTGAGTTTTACAAATTCTAATCAAATTTTATAAAAAATGTATCAATGCTATAACAAAATCATTTATTTTTGTTATTTTATTCATTTTTTTAAAACTGGCGTTGTGTTACCGTTGTAAAGATGCAGATGTAAAAACGTCAACTACGCCTTTGCGCTGCAAGTAAAACTGATTTATTTATGCCGTGTAAAAATTTTCAAATCTTCGTAAATGTGTATGTAAGTTGTAAGTACCTTTTAAGGTTTTTTTCAATGTAAATTGATTTTTTGTGAGTTGTATTTTCGTAACAGCGCAACACCGACAATTATGTAATAACGGGGTAATAATATATTTAATTAATTTTTTTTTTATGTACCTACGTATATACTCGTACCATGATTATAATATTTATACCTAATACATTTTGTCTTTTAGCTCATAATGGTTTTTTATAATACGTATAAATATTAAAACATACAGGGTAGTTGTATTAATAATTATAACAGGGAGAGTGCTTTGAATACTATGTTATGTACACTCAATATAGTAATCGACAATGTCGTGTCTTTTACGACTCTAGGATAATTAAATAGTAAATTATATGATATGAAATGAAATGAGACTTGTAACTCACTTGATTTTGGCATTGGTCTGATACGCCCAAAACACAAGACATACGTAGCTCGTACACATTACTGTCGCGGTCGTCGTTACAAATATCCATACTACGACGATTGCCAGTCCCGTCTTCTACCATTGACTTAGTCGTTTTATGTTCGGTTTCGACATTGTCCTGTCCGATTTCAGCGTTATCTGCTCCGGTTTCGGCATCATCTGCTTCAATTTCGGCATCGTCTGCTCCGGTTTCGGAATTGTACCCTACAGTTTTAGGCTTATTCATTCGATTTTCTATCTGATCTCGCTTGGTTTCAACCAGATCACCGTTGGTTTTTACCGGGTCTCGTTCATCAAAATCACTATCTTTTTTGGTTTCCCAATTTAACGTGTTTTTAACGCCGTCGTCTTGTATATCTGCAGGTATAGGAGACCCACCGACAGTCTCTGCGACCGTCTTTTTCGTTTCGATCGGTTCGTTTATCCCGTCGTGAGCAGCCGTTAGCGAAGCATCGTCATGATAGTCGATCGCCGGTAAGATCAGGGTTTCCGACGGTGCCGCCGTTATGTCTCTATCCCCGTCCTGCACGGATTTGCGAACACCGTTTTCAGTCCGTGTGTTTTTTGATTTTTCTGTATCAGCGTTGTCGTTTCTAGCCCTGATGGTTTTTGGGTTTTCCAGGATAGTAGCGCCACCATTTATTGTCACGGCGATTTTAGATTTTTCCACTACAGCGCTACTATTTTTCGCTCTTGATGTTTTCGGTTTTACCACAGTAGCAACCACGTTTCTTGTTCTAGGAAGTTTTAATTTTTCCTCAACAGCACCATCGTTTATTGTCACGGTGATTTTAGATTTTTCTACTGCAACGCCACCGCTTCTTGTTCCGAGAATTTTAGATTTTTTCACAATAGCACCACCGTTTTTCGTTCTTGAGGTTTTCAATTTTTCCTCAGCAGCGTTCCCGTTTTTTGTGCCGGGACTTTTAGACTTATCTTCGACACCACTTTCGCTGAGAATGGTTCGTTTATTATTTAATGAATTTTTGTGTTTTTTATCGCTTCCTTCTACGTCTGCTAACGTGAGTTTCCTCCGAGGTCCACTCGTTTTTACTTCTTTTGGTAACATTCCGGTAGGTCCCGATTTCCAAATTTTCTCCGTGGTTCTCGTGGGCATCGGATCGGTGATTTTTTTCTGTTCGTCCTTTATCGCTGTCCCCCGGACTCTACCATTCACAGTATTTGACGTAGGATCAGCTGATTTTGATTTTGACTTTCTCGTAACGATTCTAATCAACACACCCGTTTTCGATTTGTCTGCCGCTGCTTGTTTGTGTGGAGAGACGTCTTTATGCAGTCGAACAGTTACTTTTCCACGGACTGCGTCGCGCTGTTGTCGCGGTCTCATATTAATTACGGTGTTGTCGCTGACCATGGGTCGTCGTGGTATTGGGTCTCGCAATTTCACCGTGGCATTGATATTTTTACTCTTGCTGGGTGAGTGGCTTTCACCTACAGTTTTTTGGACGTTTACTTTAGACGCATCGCTATTCTTAATTACGTTTGCCGGTCGTTTTTGGCCTATTTGCGAGTCGATCGTTTTTTCTAGCTGAACTTTGCGTGCGACGTTTTGCGTGCTCGTGGTTCCCCGATCCTTTTCGACGGGTAACGAGAGATCCAGTTTCGGACGACCGGGAACTTTTGTCGCCGCTTTAAAATTTGCACCGCTTTTAACGCCGTCCGATGACGTCTGTCTGTCGTCCATTTTGGCAGCGTCAGTGCGTCGATGATTCAATTTTCGCCAATCAAATTTTGGGAATTTTTTATTCCGCGACGCCTGCATTCGTGGGTTCAATTTTCTGCTATCGCAATAGTCGTAGTTGAGTTTGCCGGCGGCCAACCACCGCGCCGCCAAAGCTCCGCGCCGTCGTCGTTCGGCTTCAGCTTTGGTACTTAAGGCGGTCTTCTTCGCGGTGTATTCTACTCCCGGTAAACCACCCGTTTTTTTGGCTGTGGTCAACATCTCAGCCACGGCGTTCGCCACGCCTAAACGTATGTGATCGCCGTGAGTATGGTGTTCTGATGTACCTTCGTCGGCGGTGCCAATTTGGCTCGAAAACTCGTTCAGCAGCCGTTTGGCTAAGTCATTGTCGACTTTTGGCGAGTCCTCGTGGCCTCCGCACACCGCGTTCAAAATATGACCGGCAACGATATCGGCAACAAGTCTGACGAATTCGACGGTGTTCACATACTCCTTACCTGTAGCCCGGACGTGTTTCGGACGTCGACGGTGTTCTGCCTGCGCTGATTCCAAATCGTTTATTATTCTGTAGGTCGTCAACAGATAGTGATTCAATTGCCTGCACGTTCGTATACATAAGTTGTATATTAAACAATTAATTGATAGTTTTAAAATTTTTTTTTTCCTATCTAAATAATTCTGTATCTTATTGTAATTAGTAGTGATTAAAAATGTTGATTACTTTAACTCCTCCCTCCTAAGTTTTTTCTGGCTAATGCTTTGCATAGCGTTATAGCTAGGTAAAATATTATACATTACCCGCAGTACACGTAAATATTGAGTTCAAGTATTCTTGTATTGGGTTCAATGGATTTTTTTGAGTGAAATAATATAGAATAAATGGTTTAATTACTCACAACCTTGCTATAGTACTTGAAATATTATAAATGACCCAATATGAATACACGCATATAGGGATAAAAATTGGGAATAAAAGAATTATAAATAAACAATAGAGTAAAATAGAAAATACAATATTTTATTTAAAAGTTTAAATGGCACCTATTATTGATCAAAAATTATGATAGAGCTATTTGTTTTTTGTCATTTTGACTCACCGAATTTCGGTTATTTAATATAAGAGCAAGTTGGTATTTTTAATTTTGATATGTTTTTTTAAAAATTGTTATCGATCAAAATGACATAAATTAACAGCTGTATTACTGGAAATTTGTCATTAATTCATTACCTTTATAAAATAACTATTGTATTCCAAAAATGTGTTTATATGACAATGTTCTTTGAACTGCATTGAAAAAACTTCTATTGGAATTATCATTTTACAAAAATATTTAGTGTTACCTCTCACCTTTTGATGCACTTCTTGACTAAGTAAATTTACCTACATAATTGCAAAAACTATAATAATGCAACATTTGTCATTTGTTTATTATATTTCTTTTTTATTTTGACTGAAAATTATTTATAATTGTCAATGAAACGATGTTTAAAGTAAATGTGGGTTTGTGAGTGATTATATAGTAAACATAATATGTTTATGATAATTATAACAATATTTACAAGTTACAACTAATAATTTATCACTTTCAACCATTTTTTTTTTTTATATATATTTTAATGTTGTATAAATAATTGTATAATAGATAGCTTAATAATTATTTTATAGTACGAAGTAATAATTTTCATGAAAGAATAATATTATAATACTTACAAAATAGAAGGAAATCACTTTTTTTTTTTTTTTTAGAATTTAAATCTTAAATTTTCAGTCATTTTAATAATGACAGACGATAAGTACTTCCTTACATATTTGTTTAGTAGAATTGAACGTAAAAGGGTGCCTACACTTTATACCTATCACGTTAGTGACATTAAATAAATATATATATATTTATATAATTAAGAGTTACACAAGTTATGATTTTTTACTTATATTTTTGTCGCGTACCAATGATTTCAATATTTAATTAATCATAATTGTTTTTAAATATTAGTAGTCGTTTAAGATACACTAAAATGCCATAACAAGATGTCTACTGTACCTGATATTTATGATGACGAGTTAATTTTTCTACCTTTTAATATCTATAATACTTAATAGTTTATACTTATATAATACATATGCCTATACAACTTAAACCGATTAAAACTTAAAAAAATTTCATAATATGTACGGATACGAACATATCGTATTTATTTAGGTACATACTTGTTTTTAATGCCTAAAGATTTTAGATTATTCTTTAATTTTTTCAAGTTTCTCGCGTCTAAAAATGTAGTTAGCGTTGGATGATTGAAATGATTGAATGTTATCTTAGGTTTCGCAGGATCATCCATTACTGTTACATATTAAAATACTATAATAATTTACCTACTTTGCTGTATTTCATGTACTTTTTACAATTAATTTAATCAATTCATACATTGTGTACGCACTATATAATATATACTATTAAGTTCACAGCGTATTCCTCGTTTTCACCTTCAATTTACACGTATGAACAATCGAAATTTGAAATTTTAGAATAAAATTTTGGAAATCACGGCGTTTCATGTTTCAGTTTTATTGATGTCGATGATACCATCTGGGAATCTGTTTACGATTAGCGTTTAATGCCGTTGCTGTGGCAGACAATCTCATTGTGTGTACATACTACATAATGTATACATATTACATATATATTGGTACTACCTATATTTTGGAAAAAATAAAGTACCTATGTATTATATATTGCAAATTGTTAGACGTATTTGAAACTTAGTTTCATCTGGTACGTGGAATATAGGGTGAAAATATCAATAACTATTTTTTTCTTTATCCACAGTATATAATATCATATGAGCCATTCTTACTGTTTAATATCTTCCAATATAAAACGAGCACAATTTCTAGCGTCGTAATTAATTAAAAGTGTATTAATTGTTGTCTAATGTAATAATAGAGTTCATGTTTTCCCTAACGTTGCTATATTGTATTTATGGACTAGTACTAGTATCGTCGAATAGCCGTTGAGTTAACGTAATTTATTTTATTTTTCTTTGAATAAATAATAAAATAATAATGTGAATGAACATAATACATCAGCTGATGTTATTATCACTACATTTACTACCGAAAATACATGTAATCAACAATTTATTGTTATTGCAGGATATTAGGTATCAGGGAAACAGTTTTATCAACAGGAGTGAACAAATTACTTAATATTCTATGCCTTTGAGAAGAAGTTTAAAATATTAACGTAACCTAATCTAACCTATAGGTAAGTACTAATGGTCTATGATAGAAAAGGTACTGAGTATAATTTTATGTTTGTAAAGAGATGGAAGAGATGTAAATCTATGGTTGAAATTTCAAGTTTCTAGCACCACAGAAAATGCACTAAAAAACGTTGCATTTTTTTTCGTTACACAAATTTTTTTTAACTGCAATACATAAGACATATTAATGTCAAAAATTTCATTACGGTTAGAGTTGGGTGGAAAACAAGCTTAAAATAAATGTATAAAAGTTACTAAAATATATGTATTTTGTTAAGCTTCTAAAAGTTTTTTATGTTTTTTTTAATGCTCGTTAGGTTAGGTACATTTAGACTTAAAAATAATTAATTTAAAATTTAAAATTTAATTTTATTCTTATGTTTTTAAATATTTATTTTAATTATTTAGAATATCTAATGAAAAATGTTAGAAGTGATTATTAAAGTTGTCAATTAAATAATTTAAAGTTCCTTTTATAATCATTTATATAATTTATACCTTTTGTTATAACTTATTAGTTAAACTAAAAGATAACAATTTTATTATTAATAAAAGAGGTACAATAATTTAATTTCATGAACATTAAATATCGTTAAATTATTTATATTAATGTATTTATTTTATCATAACACTTCAATTATTTTATTTATAACTGTGAATAGAGTCAAATATTTTACAGGTAAAATATATTTTTTCTTAATTATTTTCTTAAATCTTTTTAAGACAGACGAAAAACCTCTCAAAAACAAGATATTTTTTCTCAAGATATTGCTACCGAAGAACATAAACCCCTCGCATAACATATCCTAAATACAGATGAAATGATATCTGTTCATGCAATATTATGAAGTAATAGAGGTTTATGACCTAGAATCATTATAAGGAAATATGTTTAAAAAAATAAAAATAAAATGCTCCAGCTCAAATGGTCAACTCACTGAAATAGACGTGATAGCAGTCAATGTGTTAAAGGGATCGGATACGAATCGTTTTTTAACATAGGTACCTACTTATACAAATGTAGCCGTTTACGGGTGCGGGTAATTGTAGTAAATTATCAATGTATATTTCACGACAAACACAAAAAATAAAAAACACATATTGTTATAAAACCAATAATACATTCATAGTTATATGCTCAGTATTTAAAAAATGATTCTCGTAAGTATGCGTATTGTGAGCATTAAACAGTATTATTTTAGTGGATGAGCGCGTACGATGGACAAACGCACGAATAACGTTCATCGTATAATTATTATTATTAGTAACCTAACTGTGGTATTATACATTTATAAAATGTATATTCTTAATAACAGTATTACATATAGACGGACTGATTATACTCAAGACGTGTAAAACAGTGGTCTTCAAACTATAGGCCACTACGTAAGCTTTAAGATTGGGTCATGATAAGTTCACTGTTTGAAATTTAAAAAATCCATATTTATATAATACATATTATGTATGTTAGGTATGACACTAAAAAATGAAATATTATCTATTAAGAATTAAGCAATAGACATTAAGCAACTTGAATTTTTTTTTGGTTAATAAATTGACATGGGTTGCAAAAAATGTATGGTAAGAAAATTGTACTGCGAGTCAAAAAGTTTGAAGACCACTGGTGTAGAATGTATATTACATATATATATATGCCATGATTGTAATTAAAAACGAAAATGTTTATGACCGTAAAATTTGTAATTTATTAGTCATCGTGTATATTATATTATTATTATTAAGTATAAGGTATACAGGAAAAAAAATATACGTAACTAAAATTAAAAGAGAAATGGGTGAAATGGAAAGATTTTACAGACAAAAAATATAATTAAACGTATGAAAAAAACGCGCGACGTCTGCTTACAAGATACAAAATTAGCTAAAATCAACAAAATTAACAATACATTCAAATCTGTGTAGTGTACCGGTGATAAAGTATTATATAAAAACGAAGCGTTCGACGAACGCGCGTATATTTACACAAAACGCATACAAACGGAATAGTTATAAACAAAAATGTACAATACAAATACACTATAATATTATGCATACTATTTATAATATATTATATATATAATACAATATCATGTGGGCAATTTAAATCGATATTTTTATTAGGTTTTTTCCCCTTCGACGTAATATAAATGATTTTTGTTTGACTTCATCATATCGCATCGCCGGAATGACTTTAGCAGGTCACACAGACAATAGTGTATAAGGCGTATTAGTATTATTTAATATTAATATATAACATATAATTTCGTAATTGCGTTTTAATTTTAAAACGGCATTTAAATACAAAAATTAAAAAAAAAAAAAAATAGGAATCGGGTTTTAATTGCCTCACAGACAACTGTTTGCGTTCAAACAATGTTATATTTTATATACATATAGTGTAATGAATATAAGGAACATACAAAAAAAATTATTTCGTCTACCCAACAAGAAAATTAAACGCTATGTACATACATCACTATACAATAATTATCGTGTAAGAGTTTGAGACTTAAACCTACATCGAAACAAATTCACAAGTGTATTTTTATGTTACATCATATTATATTATATCATATATTTATAGGGAAGCTGATTGGCTGCACAGGTACAATTATCGTAATAATGTAACTCGACCTTACAACCTTCGACCATAAACTATTTAATAAATCATTATTTTATCATGACATACGTGTATGGTCGGTTGGTGAGTATGAGGTACGCTACAAAAGTACGTTTCGCAAGAGAGTGCCGTTTACTGATGCTGTTGTGGACGAGCGAGATGAAAGAATTCGTGACGTTTACCACATGTCAACTACCTACTACAATCGTATTGTACCGATGTTTTATACGTGATGTATAATATACCTATACAATAACACACATAATCTCCGCACACTTGACCGGAAGACCTATCAAAATGATAACGGTTTCTTTTGTTTTTTTTTTGTTGCTTTCACCGGATCGTACCTTGCCGCTACCCTCTCCGTCAAGGGATGACGATCGCTGGCGACCGGCATTGAACTTGTGTGTTATTTCTGAAAATCGACTACCGACAACAATCATCGTACTCCGCAACAGTATATAAATAATAATATCATATATCTATAATATTACACACGCATATAGGTGTGGTGCACGTTGTGTCATTTATTATTATATTACATTGTGTGTTTTGTACATTGTAGTAGGTTTATGTGCATTATTGTAACTCGTGTCCCTTACGACCTAGCCGTACGTACAGAGTAAATAACATCGGCCATAGAATTCGGAATGTAGCATTGTGGCACTTTTGAGTTATCGTCATCGCGTCATATAATATATATCTTTATATACAAATGTATATAATACTGTATTGTCACCGCGATCCAGTGCATTATTCTGGTATAATAGCAAATAGATCTTGAAATATTATTTCATAATATAGTTCTGATCGAACAAAATCTTCCTCCCGACGAATGACCGCGCAACCGTCTCATAACGTTCGAATAAAAAAAAAAATACCATGTGGCGCGTGTTATAATATTCACGATGCTGAACACGAGTTTTACAATAATTTTTGTGAACCGAGATGTGAACGATATTACAATACTAATTGTACAGCGGGCGTGTTGCAGTGCTAAAAAACGGTCGTAGTTTTTTTCATCAGTCTGTTCTTTTTTTCATTCTGTATAGCTGTTTAAGTCCGATTTTTAGAAAGAACTATAGAAGACGGTTTTCGATTTGCATAATATTATTGTTTTGTGTACATATAATATTATTATTTATGAATCGTGATTATTATGTCATTAGACGTATTATAATTCTATATATTATGTACGCTCGTCCCCAGAATATAAATAATCTGTAGTGCGAGTAGGACTTCAGATCGATGTTTGTCAACGATAGTATATAAAATCGACGGATTGCGCCGGTAATTGGTATGTGTATTCATAGGAATTACGACGATGATGAACCTAACTACACCGACCGAGGCTTGAGACGGAAAAATCAATTTTTTAAACCTGCGAATTTATCGGTACCTTCGCGGAAAACATTCAGTGCATCGCAGTTTTTGCAGTACTTCTTAAATGTGGCGGCAGGTTGTAGGCAGGTGGAATTTTCGTCAGGATAGAAGAAAATGGTGAAAAATCGTCGGAGCGAATTGAATCTCCCAGAGAGAAAGTGGAGAATCAGTACCACGTGTAAAACGGTGGATGCGTCTGTCGGGGCTGATAGTAAGCAGCCGAAGTAGGACTCATCTGACCACCCATGCAAGCTGTCGGTATGAGCGCGGGCTGTGGACTTATCCGAGTCGGATTCATGGGCGGCATCTGATGGTGTCCGCTGACGCCGCTTCCACCGCCAATGCCGATACCGTGGTGGTTGGCCAGCGTCGACCAGCTGGACGGGCTCTGCATCGACACCAGTTCGGACGATGACACCGTGATCAGGCTTTCGCCACCATTCGCTCCTATTGAAAGTGCACAAAATCCAACTTTTAGTACAGGTATGTAAATATTAGATTGGTAAGATTAAATAGTTTCTTATGTGAGTATACAGCTATAATTCAGTTGAGTGTGATGTAGGTACACGATTTAACCACACAATATAAATATTACATTAACTCACTGATAAATAATGCACAAATCAAATTGTTATCCCTTTTAAAAATACCAGCTTTTCTTACTGTACGATTAGGACAAAACGTAAATAACCCGAAAAAATCATGTGATACAATAAGTGAATAAGAGGTATAAATGTAAAAAAAAAATGATATATAGGTATATTGGCCAAAATTATACCTTTTAAAAGAACACTCGACTAAAGGGAAAACCATTTTTCACAAAAGTTACGTATTTTAAGATTTTAGTAAATTGTAAATCTAACTTTTTAAACTTCAAAGTACCTACACACATAAAATTAATATTCGATTTTCAAATTATTGTAATATATGCACAATATACTGCATAAAAATTGTTATGTTATTTTGTATAAGTATCCGATAAAGTACTAGCAGGAAACAAAATTACACTTATAATGTAAAACCCACGAATAGATTGTTTATGATCATTAAATAATACTCTATAGACTTCTACCAATGTTTTATACATAGAATGAAATTGTTCTGTGACGACTGCTACTGGTACAGTCCGGTACGCCCGATGCCCCGCCCTCTATATTATTATTCAGTTTTTAAACTTGGTGCATGCGTTCAAAAATTTTGTAACATAAAGAACCAAAAATAACAAATTACTATTATTTCAATAATAATTTAATACGTCTATAAATTTGTTTTAGAATAAATTCGCATAATACCTTTATTACCAAAATCGTGTGGTAAAAAAAAAAATTTCAAATTATTTCATATTGATGTAGCAGCTGTATTCGCAAGCCAATATAACCATCATATTATCTGTTTTTGAAATTTAACGTTAAAATCAAGCACATAAACCGTGATTATTGGAAGAAGTATATATGTGCAGTCTATATAGTACGTCGGATTTATGAATATATTTATAGTTTTGACAGGTTTATATTATATATTTTAAATTATTTTGCTAATAAGTCGCACACTACCATAGAACACAGTATATTATGAATTATGATTAACATTAACCAGGAGACTTTAATTGGATAATTATATAAATGTCGACGGAAAGTACAATTGTAACAATAGTTATGTTGTTACGTGAGTGTTTACGGCCATCGTAATTTAGTTTAATTTTTATTTTATCAGATAAATAATTAAATTATAAATAAAAATATTTAAGTTTAAGTCATATAATTATACGTATTGCGATTAACGGTAACATTTTTTAACGAATGAGGTATCGTACAAATTGTACGTCTAAAGAGTAATAAGACACAAAATAGATGTAAGCGCAGTCAACTTTGCGTCGGACTTGTTGAATAGTTCATGTTATATAATTATACCCATAGGAGCACTCTATTTTAGTCTAACAGCCGGTCACAAGGGTGAGTCCATCTCCGAGTACGGCATTTTATACCCTATAGATAGCACCCCATCACATATACGCTTTAGTCAAATGAGGGTCGCAGTTAGGTGTGATGGATATACTGATATTTTGATTTACCGTTTGATTGTCCCATGAGTGTGATGTTGGCCGACACAGGAGACAGTTGATGGTGTGTAATCATTGTGGGAGCCGAGTTAGCCGCCGCCGAACCGATCTGATAGGACTGCGACGCGGCCGATAGCAAGTTCGGCGACGAGGCCTGGTGATGGCCGCCGCCTGGACCGATGTGCAATTGCGAAAGCTGACCGCTTCCGTTCAACTGTCCCATCTGCAAGACGAAACGAGAAAAAAATAATTATAAAAACGATATATAACTATAATTTTTGACTAAATAGGATATATTGTATGGGTCACGCCAGCATTTCAAATTTTGATACCTGTATCAGGGAAAATGGATAGGTAAATATGTATTTTAAAAACTAAATTTGTAACATTTTTTAATACCACGATGGAAGGGGTGGAGGCTTTTACAAAAATAATAAGGATTACGGGGAGTGGAAAAAAGTTCTATTTTTATAAGCTGTTCTAGATCAGAGGTTACTAATACATTTTCGCATTCATGGTTTACCGTACTATATTTTCAAAGTAGGACTACAGGACATTTATGTCCATATCATTTGTGGTTTAAATACAACATCGAAAATAGATTTTTCGAGTATAATACGCGGACTTACATGAATACGTAATTTTCGATAATTGCTTCGACACAGCATTTTCAGATACTTCGCGGTAATTACTGGATCACGGTGTACCTGTATTTTCAGATACCCAAAATATTGGATACCGTAGTTAGGCTAAACGATACGTACAGTTATTATTGCGGTTTACCGAAAATACCGCCATGCAGCCCGTCCAGTCCAGATAAGTTGGATAATGTAATAACGTCATCGAATCGGGTTGTTTATAATAATAATATATTTTATTTAACGACGGCGGTCGTATACATATTATAATATGATAATATGAAACAGATATAAAATTTGACGGTGAGACCGGATCTATACGCGTTGGACGATAATGTTAAACGTTATAATATTATGTATATATACCACGAACGGCGGGGGCGTCCGTTACCGCAGCACGATAATAATATATTATATAATATACGGTTATAAATAACTCGGCTACCCCGCCGGTAAACGGTGTCACCGCGAGACCCTTTTTATGACGTTCTCGCAGCCTGCGACCAGTCGGGCATCATGAAAATGTATTATTATTGTATGTGTATATTTATATAGGTATACAGCACGTTTACGGGTACATAATAATATTATAAGCATGACGGCGGCGGCAATACGTTTTCCAGAATGAAAATCATTAATGTTACCACGTGCGCGTCCCGTTTTATAATTTAAGATTAATAATATTACATTATAGTCCTATTTCGATCGTCCCGATGAAATTGTGACATTATACTAGTATTATTAATATAGTCGTTATGGGTACCTCCTGCACATACAACAAACGAAACAGCTACGACGGACTGTTGAATAATATTTATAACATATATTATTTATACGTACAAAGTGATTTACTATGCATCAAGTATGCCCATCCAAATTTTTCTCTAATAATGAATTCATTCAAATAAATTTATTTCAATTATTGTCATTTTTAAGTACAGTATTTTTATTTATTTAGGTTTTTATACTATTTAAAGAGTGTGTGGTGATAAGAAATTATTTTTTAATTTTATACAACTAAATTTTAACTGCAAGGGAGGGAGATATTATGAAATCTTTGATCTATCTAAATTAAAATTTGAACGGATAGTTTTTGATTTATTAAAATGTATAAACTTATATAAGAATAATAGTTCTTAAAAATGGTTTTACAAAATTATAGATTTTCGATAGATCATACTATTCATGTTTTAAACCACGGACTTAATGTCTTTAGTACATTAAATTAATTAACTAAAATATTTTCCAGTCGAATTTCAATTTAGATTAACGTTTTCAATAAAATCATCTGATAAATAATTAACAGGCAAAAAAAGTTTGGTGCTCTCGAAGACACCGAAATAGATCTCGATGCGATGATAATGGTATAAGTTAGGGTGGATACAATTTTGAAGACACCTTTCGGCTTTCTCATTCATGAAAATTAATCTATATAAAAATGTGTAAGACTTATTATTATCTTTAACGGTACGTATAAAAAATGTCGTATGACGAGTGGATTACGAGAGGAAGGTTCAATTATTTATGTTTATTTGACTATAAATTATCATGTCGATGAGGTGGATAATAAGATGGAGTTTGTATGTGTGACGGGAATCATACTAAATTACGGTCGTTTGAAAACTTACTTGAGAAGTTAGCAGCGATGACGAGGACGTGTAGAGCGGCGTGGTCGGGTACGTACCGCCCGCGATTCCTATGTACGATGTAGCCGTTGCTGCTTCGGTGCTAATGTTGCTGTGAGGCCTGTTGTCGTGGTCGATTAATGACGTGGCACCTAGACCGCTGTACATCATGCTGTTTTGCTGATGTTCGTCCTTGATCATCTGCTGTTGCTGTTGTTGCTGTTGCTGCTGCTGCTGATGATGATGGTCGTCGGTTTCTATACATACGTTTAAAATAATAATTTATTAGTACAGCTAACGACTGACCTTACACCAAATAGGTAAGTATATTATTGCCGTTTGTGACCCAATTTCAAATCGGTCAACCACATAAGGAGTATTAAGTAATGTACTTTGTCACGAAGACAAGTCATGAGGAACGCGTCAAATTTTCCAAAAATCATAGTCAAATTTTATAGTAGACGTCTATAAAACTAATTATTTATTATTTAACTTGTAAAAACTAAAAAATGTCGTTTGTATTTGATATAAGGGGGGATGTAAAAGAGTAAATACTTTTTTTTAACGATTTCGGTATAATTTTTCCGCACTTCAAACGGACATCAGATTGATTTGGAGAATAAAATAAACGAAATCAAATTTTATAATAATGTAGACAGTGTAGTACCTTTGTATCCGTCCGGCGTTGTGTTGTACGGTTCGTGCAACTGTTGCGGTGACATTATGTAAGCGGGTGTGGATGACGAGTTCGGGCCCGACGACTGTTGCTGTTGGTTCTGTTGCTGCTGAGCGGACGGTGAGTACCCGAGGGCCAATCCCATACCGTAGCCACCGGAACCTGGCGTGGAACTTCCGGTGTTGCTCGACATTTGTTTTCTCAGTCTGGCACGCCGATTACTGAACCATACCTGTAGAGAAACGACACACACATATACACTCTGTCATTGATATGGGTTTGCACTGGTATAATACTATAATATAATTATTTTGACAGCGGTTGAAATTTTTTTTAAAAAGAAATAGGAATTTGAAATTTTAATTTCCTATGTGAAATATTGTAATTAAATTCATCATTAAAATGAAATGGATCAATTGTAGCTTGGTTTACTATAAATTGGGCGTATTGTACATGTAAATTGTATAGAAGCATACAAATCCTATAACTTAAGCTCTTAGCTATATTTACAAACAAACATAAATCATTTTAACGATTTAACGTCGGATTATCGGTATATAAACTAATAAATTATACTATATAGGAACATTTTTAAATGTTTCTTTAGTACGTAAATAGCTTAAATTGACCGGAATAGTAAAAATGGTTAGCACGAATTTCGTTCAATATGCAAAGAATATAATAATTCTAGTTTGTACATAAAATGACACAAATTTGTTGCAATAAACTACTATAAAATATAAAATTATTCTTTTTTTGAAAAAATTTTAATTAAAATAAATATTAACATATTATTTATAAAACTGTTTTTATCTTTATAGTTTAAACTTTTTAAGTTATCTTAAATTTAAACTCGAAAATTGAAATATAATTTTATATTTTACTTATTGTTCACCTAATTGGACATTCTATACACTGTCCGGATATTTTATACAATGCCCATTTTTCTACTTAACCAAAACATATTAATTTGTATATTGTCACCTGTATTCTAGCTTCGGTCAGCTTGGTACGCTGGGCCAACTCTTCTCTAGTGTAAATGTCTGGGTACTGGGTGCGCTCGAACGCCTTTTCTAGCTCATCCAACTGCAACGCGGTAAACGTGGTTCTGCTGCGTCGCTGTTTGCGCTTTAGCGGTATACCTGGTTCCGAATCACAGTCCGAACCGTCTGAAGTCTTGCCTGTGCAACACATTGTAACAAACGATAATGAATGAATGTTGTACAAATCGAATCAATTACGGAAAAAAAACTTAAAAAACCAATCTTCAACGTAAATGGAATCTAATATTTTCCATTCCATAGAAAGCGATTTTAGGTCGTATACTGTTTTTATCAAAAAATATGCGTTATAATAATAAACATAATACGAAATAGAAATCAATAATGTTTACTGCTGTTTATATCCATATACATTACTATTAATCGTTTTGAACATTATAATAATATTTCAAAAACAGCTATGTTACATTATGTTTCATTCATCCAAAGTAATAAATTAAAGCGCTTCTATACTTTGTTTTAAAAATTTTAAATTCATTTTTTTTGTAATGAATTTTATATAATCGAAAAACATAAATTATAGGTAATAATATAAAAATACCTATATCGATAGTCTGCTATCAAACATATTTTATCATTAGATATCAGTCATCAAGTACCTATTTATAATCACCACGGTGATTCGATAACCATTAATAGGTTTATTTCATGACAAGAACGTCCAAACTTCAAGCAGCCAAAAATATGTATAAAGTAATTACTGGAGTTTAAATTTAAACGGGTGGTAAATGGTGACAATTACAGACTACAGTCTTCGGTGTGTAAAGTATAAGTGTTTCTGTTCATAAAATTATTAAATTATTAAAAATATTGTATATTATTTATTTTTATTTTTAATATGATTCGCGCATCATAATATGGAAAAATGCACGTTCAAAAATGTTTAGGTAATAGGACCTTAAACGGTAATTTAAATCTTACCAGGAAAATAAACTATAACTGTTATTAATGTTACGATGACGATGCCTCAAATAATATCAGTATTTTTAATGACAAAAAGGTAAACAAAAAAAAGAAAAATGTTTACGAAACACCCAAGTAAAACGAATTTCGTGGAATGAACGTGTTAATATAACCATATTATATAGATCATTCAAAACGAGCAAGGGTTTTTGAGCAACTGTACACATATTATTATTATTATGAGTAAGTATACCATCCGACTAAACGTATGCCGAGACGAACACACACATACACCACAACAGTTTAGGATTCGAAAGTGTCGGATGACTGAAGTACGTAATTTCGACAGACCGCAACGATTGGGTTACACAAAGAGACCGACCGGCGGCGGTGGCAACGAACATATTTTGCCAGCGATCGCTTGTTTTTGTTTTATTGTGTTTTCGTGATGCATTATTAGTGCTTACGCGCGTGTGTGTGTGTGTGTGTGGATGGGATGGGAAAGAAATAAAGGCGGCGCACTGTTATAGCAGGACCTTGTATAGTCGCACGTCACGGGCGGCGGAGGGAAACGAAAAATCATTTTTCATAATAATTTAGCAAAAAAAAAACTTCGCTGTGGGTTTTTGGCGGCGTCTCGGCGGCATGCGGTCACATTGAGTCGGAGGCGCTTACGAACCGTCGGCAGAGACCAAAACGCAAAACCGGGTAATGGTTTTTAAAATAACAATAACGCAATACGATGTTGCACGTCGTCGCGGCAGGTATATTACATATATAGGTACGTATACCATTATTGGCATTATTATTATTATCATCATTATTATTATTATTGTTAAATTTTATTGTGTATAGATATGGATATAATATATACTAATGACGTTTGCGGTACGAGAATCGGTTTTTTCGCGATGTGAATACGAGTCGGAGACGATGATTGTATATAAATCTATATAATATGATGATGTTCTGTATCGACACACAATTTGTAAACGACCGTCAGGTGTGTGAGACCGAGGCAAAGTGTGTGCCGCCGCCGCCTAGTGTCCGATTTAGATAATGCCGCCTGTTGCAGATATAATTTTCAAAACTAAATCGATATCGAAAAATATTATTTTATTTTGTCATAATTCGAACATAAGTGCATATACAGGTACGACGTGTTTAGTATTTTCTAATCGATAAAATTTTGTTTAAAGCTACATTTGACCTTTTCTCACGCAGGTCGTACACTGTCAATAAAAATTTTATTTTATCTTATATAAGATTTCCATATCAAATAATTATTGATAAATAAAAGGCTTGGTAAAAATAATCTTATCGTTTCCTCATATTATATATATATAGGTACTCAAGTGTCGTACATCGTTTATTTTTGTATATTATGTAGTTATATATATAACACATAAATATTTGGAAATTTTCGATTTTATGTTTATGAATTTCAAACACATGTATGTTAAATTAAAAATTAACATATTAATTAGTTAAAATTTCGTCAAACAGTTTTAATCGATTTTTAAAAACAATTTTGTAGAAGGTACTTATATAGTATAATCGCACTATTTCATATTTGTTGTTCAAGTAATGGGTTTTAAGTTTTCAATTGTTAGTATATATAGGTACAGAATAATATTCATCGATTGCAAGGAAAAAAGTATAAAAATGTATTTTTAATGGTTTTAAACTAAACTATTATCTAATATCAATCATGTTTTCAACTTGTGTGGCTTATCTTTTCAATAAAATTCAAAAGCCATTGTTACGTGGTTATATGGCGTCGTGGTCACTAAAATTTTTACTACGACAATTTAAATATCCCTAGCTCACATATTGAAATTATAATAAATGTTTAACGGCAGTACACTGCAGTAATAGAGTTTGCCGTTTCATTCCATCAAAGTCATACTCATATATATATACCCGTCTGAACGAATGCCAAACACAATAAAATCTGTTTTATTATCGCTTCATTAGAGGAGAACTAAGAAAGAAAAAATCGGTTTCGCAAATGTGTTGTCACGGCCACAATATTAACGATTCGAAAAAGTATCAAGTTGAAAAAATAACTTTATGTGCTAAGAATAATTATTAATGGACTATCGAACTTTAATTTTAACACTACGATTTCAATTTCTAATATTTCATAGTATTAATCAACAATTATTTATGAACGATTTGCATGGTTTGGTTTTTATAATTTGTAGACGACTTTTTTGATGATCACAATAATTTTTAATAAGTATAGGCATAAGTGATAAATTGCTGAGAGAATTATGAAATTATTTTGTTTTTAAGAGTTTTGTATTTAGTTCCTTTTTGAGTTATGCCTTAAATATAATTACAGTATAAATGTGCATACTTATTGTAACTATAGTTGCCATAATAAAAATAATATGTATATTGCATTGATATACCAAATGTATATTTTTAAAAGATAAAATAAACTTACCGTCGCTAACTTTTTTTTCTGAAGCCGAATCATCTCCATCGTGGCCCCTTAAAAGTCTGGATATTGCGCTAATAGACGGAGCGCTTCCTCGGTCACACAATCCTTCTCTAATCAATCTATAACAATATAGAAAATAACATAGAGAAATCATTGACACCACGATTTATTTTACAGTACCTATAATAATAATAATAATTTATATTTTAAGACGCGTATTTTCTCCCAGGTGAAACTATTGGTGTGTATTTTAAATGATGTACTTTATCTTATTCACACCCACGTACTCTTGATTATTCACTAGTGTCGATGGGTATTAAATAGAAATATTGATTTAAGTATTAAGTTATTTATACTTGCACTGCCGTATATGTACATTGTATATATAATAGCTATAGGCTACAGTATTGGACATTTGATAAAATGTTCTGAAGCTATATTTTACTTCAACTGTACCTATAAAGATTTTAAATGGAACTCATGCGTGGGCCCTCCTACCGTGTTTAGAAAAACGGCAGTACTGTACATATTATATTTTTGTTCAGAGATAAAAAAAAAAAAATAATAATAAATAATAACAAATACGTAATAATAAAAACGAAAGGAATGAATTCAAAAAAGCAAAAAAAAAAAAAGAAAAAAATGAAACGGTAACATTTACCTACTATAGTAGTACTATAATACTGGTAGAAAACTGTTTTAAAATAAAAAAAAATTCACAAAATAAGAACATACTCGGGTGTATCGTTAAAATAAGGAATTGCGATGTTCGGGAGAGAGGGCTCGATATAAATCTTATGTATACGCATATAGACGTGTCATAATGTATCATATTATTACATTATGATAATAACTTCGAATAATTGCGTAATAATCGAAAACAATTGAATTGCACAACCGATAAAGGAGGAAAACAATAGACCAAAATACCAAATGGGACATTCGTAACATTATGTAATGAAAATAATTTTCGCTGTACTCGAAATGGTGTTTGTACACTGCAATATATGTAATCTTACTAAGGAAGGTATAATAGATATATTTTATTTCCCAAAATCATGAGCGAGAAGTATCTATGTATTGCATACATCATAAATGGAAAATATGTATAATTTTATTGTTTAAGTAAAGTAATATTTTTTCATAAACTTACAATTTTCTTGTTACCTACGGGGGGTTGAAATTTTAAAACATTAAAGGTATTATATTCATGAATTTATATTATATACATATCATATCTGTATGCAAGTAACATTATAACCAACGGACAGTCAGTTTTTATGTTTAAGTAGTTGACAAGTGTAGAAATAAATTTCAGACTACTTTAAGAAACCATTAATTTATGTATGGAATTTTATTGTTGTACGACGTCTTAACAAGCATGAAATAACCAAGCAGTGCACACATACTGGACTACCTAACAATACGATCGAGAGAAAAAAATCGAAGTTGAATAGTGACAAAAAAAAAAAAAGAAAAAGAAAAAGGATCCAAAGGTCATATTCTGAAACCGTTATTTATGGCTCTGTACACCAAATATGTGTAGTATGTATACTGTATAGGTATATGCATTGTATATATAAATATGTAGCGGCAGCAATCCTACATAATAATATATACAAGCGAGCCAGTTTAGAGTCAATAAATTTGAATGCCCTTCAGTGAGTTGAAAATTGATGTACAAAGGGTGCAGCAAGGGTAAAAAGTCTTGACCCTACATTATAAAAGAAAAAACATCCCATTGACAACTGATGATTGTATTAAATATACATACACAGTACGTGGATTTTATGTCTTGTTTGGGAAAAAAACCACGGAGCACGCGTCCCTTTTATATAGAACATACATAATAATAAATTTTAAAACTAATAAACCAAAATCATTGCTATGTAGTTTTATTTTCTTTTGTATAAGAAAAAGAGTTCCGTTTGAAATTTTAAGAGAAATACGTAAACACTAACCTTTTATTATCGTGATATTGGGCGGGCTCATTGTCATTTCTGAAACAAAAACGGGATCATTCTTAGAGCTTTATTAAATTTGAAATACAGCAAAGAAATCACTTAAAAATTTAATAACACAAATTATATTTAAAACACAATAACACGGATCGAAGATTATCTATAAAGGTATGCCCTTAAACATTTTTTGGTATAAATGTATAGTACATATTTGAGAGGTCGATTAAAATCCTTTGGAGAAAGCGACTATTAATATTTCAGCCGGCGAGGTAATATATATACGTATAATCCTAATATTTTATTTATATTACATTGTCATCGCGTATATTTTATATTCAAAAATTTGTGCGGTACCACTGTATAATTCATAACAATAATAAAAATTCAGCGATTTGGTTCAATGGGCGTGTACGGTTACAGTTCACATATTTATTAATTTATCGTCGTTTTTATTAACTGTACGTTAAAAAGGTATAGATAGGTTCGCCCTACAGGAAAAGGCTTCTATAAATATAATATTGCCATTAGCCATATGCTGTTTGAAAGTATTCATTTATCATAAAATATTTGTCTTATATATATATATATTTTATATACTATTATTGTTGTTGTCTCTGCAATGCAGACTAATTTTGATTGGACAATGATAGTATTATTTATAAGTAATTGGCTCCCTAAAATTACTATAATATGTGGTGTGTATAATAAGTTTATGAAAAATAACAAATGTCAAGATGAACGCTGTTTTAACTTTATTTGAGCAAATGAGATACATACTATATTCAAATTATTTAAAAAAAATCATAAACACATAATAATGTACAATCGTAAGTTTTAATTTTTATAAATAATCAAGTACAAATCAATATTTTCTTAATTCTCGATAAATAATATAAAAATATATTACCTAATATTATAGGTACATTTATATAGATATAAGTATTTGGCATGACTATTTATAAGTTGATTAGGTATAATAATTATTATAATTATTTTATTTTTGGAAAAATGAATAGTATACCTAACTTGTTTCAATATGTTTCATGTTAAAATATATATTATCTGTTTGTGTACCAAATAATAGCCAATGAATAAATAATAAGAATATATGTTGTGGCCAGTTGTGGGAGAGATCGAATAAACGTAAATCGATAAACAGAATATAGTATATGTAATTTATTATATGTTATATGTAGACAGAAGTAAAGATATATTTTAAGTATGTTAAAAAATTCACGACATTTAATAATATGTGTATCTGCATGTATATTAGATTATAGAGTAGGTATCAGTTGTATCTATATCTAATCATAGGTATTTATCGAGAAAATATATCAGAGCAAACATCAAGTATATAATATATATATATATAAATACTTCGTCATATTATATAACAACTTTGTTGTTACAATTAGTCGGCTATCATAATACACAAATATGAAGTACACACATGAAAGCTATATTTAACTAGATTAAAATTTAGATTTAGATTTATTTTTAATTCTGCTATCAAATGTTAAACAGCATACAGTTTTGGGCATAATATTTGACTTATATATTACCTAAAAGTATAATATTAAATTCAAACAGAGTTTGGACTGCTGATTTCAGGTCGGGATTAACACGACGCCGATAAATTATATTATTTGGAATTTAGCATAGGTATTACGTTTGTGATATATCGTAGGTAAATAGTAGGAGTAAAGCATAGGTCAAATCATACGATTTAATGCCATTGGTGTAGCACGAAGTACATCTATAGCAGATATGATACATACCCGATGTATAATATGCATATACGTTATACATATACCTTTATATTCAAATAGTGCAGGTTATATTATTATATTATGTACTAAGTAATATAGGTAAGTATTTAATAATAACTTATAATATATCATATTATGTTAGATACCTGTCGCGTATCTCCCAGCTGAAAATTCCGGGATTTTCCGTTTTATACTCCTCGATTCTACGTTCCACGTCTGGCGTTGCAACTCTGGGTTTACTGCCGCCAATCACGCCTGGTCGGATGCTACCCGTCTCTTGGTAGCGATTGAGAATCTTCGATACGCATCCATGTGACACGCGCAGCTGTCTGGATATAACGCACGGTCGTACGCCAGCCGCGGCCATTTCGACGATCTTCAGCCGTATGTGATTGGGCAAAGGCCGGCCGTTAATGAACACGCCGCCCAACTGGTTCACCCGGCCCTGGCCTGCAGTCACATCATACACAAGTGGTAAATAACGGGACGACATAATACGGGTACTTATACGTTATACATATTCATATGTAGGTATGCCTACTGTAAAATATTTAATATCGCATCTCACACGGCTGGTATTATACATATATTACATTATATAGGTGCGTTCTAAGCCGATTTAGGGATCACTAGGATGTTTAGTTTATATACAGATAAGAGATGAGATAGATGGTATATAATATAACGCACCAGTGGTCCTATCAGTGGTTTTTTTTTTTTTTTTTACGATAATCTTAAATACCTGTAACTATTTGGCTTTGTACTGTAGACCTCACTTATCGTGCTTTCGATTTAGCCGTATGTGCATGCATGTCAGCATGACACGTTGAGTATATACTATTGAATATATTTTCTGACGTATCATGTAATTGTAACACATAACAATATAATCATGAATCATTAAAATATTTATTATAAGTCATTTTATACATATCACCTACCCACGCACAGCAAGCGTTTTAAATAGATTTCAACGTGAACTTATATGAAACCTATATGTATCTAATGTTCGATATTATTTTAGGATAAATACTTATATACTTATTTTGAATCGTCTAAAATATATTCCGTTTATAATTTTTATAGAAAACGGTTTATTTTAATTATATTTGACTCTTGACAGTTGATTTCTGTCCAATAGCACCAGCTGTTATTTATCCTAAAAATAGGACGGTGTAGGTTTATGCCTAGCCTAAGTTATCTGTAGTAAATATTTAAGTAACCCCAGGTCGCCATAATCCATATATATCGGAACTCCCTGTAAAGATTATTATCTGTCATAAGGGATTAGAAAAGTGTAATGGTGTCATATAGTACCATTTGATAATTTTGTCTTAAGATTGTATACATTACGAACTGCAGAATATATTTTATATAGTTGTTTTGAAATATATGTGAATTATTCAAGAAGCATCTAAATAAACCCAATTATCATACTGCATTACATTCCACCCTGGTCTTGTTATAGTATATATAAGGAAAATTACAGTTAAACGAGCTAGAGTTAAATGATGAGTAAAGGTATAACATAAAGTTATATACTACAGAACAGTTAATATAAATTATACGATATAACATATAAAGCGATGGGAGTTTTTACATGTACCTATACCTCTATAGGTTTTTCTATGCGATATATAGGTTGTCAGGTACTATAGAAAATATAAATCGACTTCGTTCGATTTTATTATCGCGACTCATATATTATTAATTGTACACTTATTCGCACGAGTATAGCTAGCCAATAAGTATATCAAAATATAATGGTTAAAATATGCATATATATAGGTACTCGCCTTGAAATGGGTATCCGGTAAAACAGGGCCTCATCATGCCGTAATTGGTAACCGTCATATTTCCGTAACTGTGCAGTGAGAAACGTTTGTAAAGCGGATGAACATCGAAAAACGAAGCCGGCGAATGTCTTATTTGTACGTGTGTTCAAGAAAATATTTTATCGAAACGAAAAACAACTCTATAGTGAAACAAACGACGTGATATTGTATATTATTAATGATAGGTAACACACACACAAAATAATAAAAAATAAATATAAGAAGAAAAAAAAAATACAAATATCTGCGTACACTCGCGGGAGGTATACTATTCGGCGATTTCGGTAAAAAAATAAATAAAATATATATATATAATGCGGTACGTGGCGTATTTCCTATGCTCTGTAAGTATAACACGAAACGCGAAACAGAAATTGTCGGACGATATATTGTTCTCTCTCCGTGATGTGCGTATATCGAGTAGATCGACGGCGACGATGACGTTTATACGTACACTCGAGTACGGAAGAGTAAGTAGATTTATCAGTGTACGACGAGATATTTTTATTATTATTATTATTATTGTACCGAACGCACGGAACGCCGCCGCATTGGTGTCACGAACAAGACTGGATCTCGTGTGCCGGCGCACTGACGGTGTAGGGCGTGCGGCCCGTGCTCACGGGGGCGTGTATGGCGTTCGTCGTCCGTCCGCCGCCGCGGACCAATGGCAGCCCGTCGTCGGAGAGCGGAGTGTGAGGTTTTCCCCCGTTTCTGGTGCGTTTTATCTATCACTTTTTTTTTTATATTTTTTTTTTTTTTATTTTTGTTTTTTACCCACCGACGTGCCTACCCCCTCCGCATCGCGCGTCAACAGTGGTTACCGCGCGACCACCATCGTATCCGCGGCGTATATGTTAACCCGCGCGGTATGCGTATAAAATATTATAATAATACATCATACGACGTATAGGTATATTATAACACGCGGCGGTAGCTATAGGTTCTATTCATGATATTTATGTGCAGCGTTTATACCACGTACGTATTTATGTGTGTCTGGCTATACGCGTATATCTATTTTAAATTCCCACACCACCCCGTAGAGCTGAACCGTATAGCTGTGTAGAAGCTTTTTATGCACGAAAATGATAAAATATACACGCCGCTGCGGTATAGTAGAACGATTTACACCATCTATTCTGCAGCAACAGCGGACGGAGAAGACGGTATTATAATAGGTATAGTCGACATTTCAATGTGTACATCATCGTATTCTTCTGAAATCTAAAAAAAATTTAATATATAGATAAATATATATAGATGCATGGGTAGGAGGTATAGTTACGATGTTATATAACGCAGCACTGCATGACACGCGCGATAAAAATTTCGAATTTCACAGCACGCCGCACGCGACGAGAAATACGCGCATTATAAACGCCGTCGATGTTGCTGCGTGGTCTGCGGTAACGCAGGTAGACGTTTCTAGACAATATCTTTTTATTTTAACTATTTTTATCCGGTATGATATCTGTATATAGTACAGTTATAAATTATGTATAATGTTCTGTAAGGTTTAAGAAATTATTCTTCAGCAACTTTTTAAATTTATCCCGTCGTACCTATACACACGAGGTGATATGAGTATGATATACGCATACTGCAGCTGGTTGCCACAGAGAAATAATTTATACTCATACCTATAGTATATAATATGTACGATATAGGTTATCGATGTATTTACCTAAATATACCTAATGTAGATAAGTTTGTTTAAAATGGATTTTTCTAACTTCTATAGATTAAAAGATTCAACAGTTGATGACGGTATACATAATAAATAATAATGCAATAATTTGTTCAATTATGTATTTTTATGACATGTAATAATTATTCAGTAAACTCTGACTCTCGTTATGTCTAATCTGGAATGTAATAATAGAAAAAATATCGTGAATGATTTCAATTTAGTTTGAGATATCTACGTTCTACTTTATAAGAATCTGTATATCTATACTACGTATACCTACTTACGTTATCAAAGGTTATGGTAAAATTAATAGTCTATAATATTATACCTATATTCATAGCGTTATTGTGATGACTTATGAAATGCAGTAATACATTTCGATACCTTACGTATCTATAGTATACTTATGACCTATAGAGGAGTATTCATTTTACTCAATGAATTGCTTTTATTGTAATAATACATCTATGCATAATTATAGGTGATTCAATGTTTATATAAAATATGGCATATGCACCATATATGAACTTTTACTCGGTATTACTAAAGTAATCTGTCTATATACCATGTTAAAATATATGTATAAGTATATAAGTACATCTTAATCATTTTAGTTTTCGATATTTTCTATATAATCTACATAATATTATAATATGTAGCCATGTAGGTACCTATATTATTGCAGCTATATATATATATAAAGTATTTATATAAGAACTATTGCATTGAAATCGTTGAGTTATCCAAAACAATATATTGCAAGACTATGGGCGTTACGGTGATGTCCTACATCGAATAAAAATAAAATGTTTTAAATCGTGTGAGTTTAATACATATATTATTATTGAAGGACTTAAAAAAGTATACAACAAGGAAAACGTATTTTAAAAGTCTATATACCTATATAGGATACGCCATATGCATTTATATAATATATATGATATTGTGTGTAGTATATATATTATACGTATATATACCTGTGTATGTAAACTATACATATTATATAGGTACATTTGTATAATGACGTGCGCTTATAACACTTCTGCCGGCGCGGAGGTGGTAAAATAATCAAACAGGCAAGTATCTATATAATAATAATAAGAGAAGTAAAAAAAAAATGTAAAAAATAAGAAAAAGATTTATAAGATGAAATCTGGCAGTAAAAAAAAAAAAAAAAAAAATGGTGGATCGTGACGAATCGAAAGTAAGGACTTTCACGGGAAACGAAGCCAAACAAAAGGTTTGAGATGTTCAGCGGACCGTGCACGCATCGAGTGCAGCGCTCAATACCACACAGCCCGACAACTCGTACCATTTTTTTCTACTCTTTGTAGCCTATTATAATACCTACCAAACTATAATGGTCTAATGTATTATATAGCTCATTATTATTAGCCTATGTTCCCTTTACCACTTTATAATGATATTACGCCGAGAAAGTGTAGATATTAAATTATATATAAATATATATATATTATGGATATCGAGCGGGTCAGCCGCATGGTGCAGCATGTTGCGTCGTCCGGATAACGTTCGGACGATATTCTTGGCGTCAATATCGAATTGTGCGTTTGGGCTTTGCCAAACGTGCATGTACACATCACGGGGGTATAGCACATTTTTCCTTTTCGTGTGCTCTCTTTTAATTCGGTATTGATTTATGGTTCGAACGTAAGCTGATTTTTTCTCGGTAAACAAACGCAACTCGCATTTTTTTTTTTTTGCACACACAATCTATTTTTTCCCCTCCCGCTGTGGATTTTTAAACACTGAAAACCCTCTACAGCTATACACGCCACAGTATATTATACTCCTTTTGATATTTTTTTCTTTTTATTCGCCATTATATAAGTATTATATTGTACTTTTTGGGTCGCTATTTCTATTTAGAAAAAACTCCGTGATGACAAATTGTTCGAACCTCCCAAGTCGAGTCACGTAACATTTCTGTGCAAAAGACAAAAAAAAAAATAAATATATATTTTTGGCCGCGTACAGATTTGACCTTGCGTATGGTCACCCTTGCGTTATTTATAACGTGTATTTTTTTCTTTTAACAACGAGTTGTATATAATATAAATTATGTTATAAGAAATACGACTTGAGGACAAATTGTTTGTGCATAGTATATATATCATATATATATAATATATATCTAACCTACAGCAGTAGCAGGCACAGTATACGAAAATATCCTCGAAAAATTCTACAATATATACTGTATATTTATATCCAGGTATTATTAAAAAAAGTATTTCATCGTGTTTTTAACAGAGATAATTCTGCAAAGCAATATTATATTATTATGTATCTAAGTATAGCTACTGCATCGTATATATTCAATATTGCAGAATGTTTTAAATCAAAATATAAATAGAAAGAGAAAATGCTTAAAATGTTTATACTGAATTTAAATAAACCAGCTTACTCTGCAAGGACGGTATAATTTAGATTTCACTGAAAAAAAAAATAAGCTATTAAGTATATAGGTGTTTTAAATAAATTGTTTGATTAAGTAGAGATATTCGTTTTGGTTTAGTAGGTACAAACATTTCATTAGCCGTTGAAATTTAATAAATAGTCTTGCGAATTATTTGTATAGGTACTATTATAATAATATACCAATATATTATATAGTGGACTCGGTCCATTATTTAAATCAGTTGGTCTTTAAAAGTGCTTTGGGTAAAATATATTAACACAGCCCGTGCACGAGAAATGACCTGTGACTGACTGGTGTGAAAAATGACGGAATATTATGTTTATCTGTCTGACGGTGTCACACTGAATAGAAATCGCCACACTCCATCGATTTCCTTCAAACAATAAACGACTACTTATAAACATTGCAGAGTATACTTATACTTTTGTTTTATGTTACGTGGATATGTTTTCGATTGTTAATTTTAAGTATAGTTTCACAAATTTCACGAAAATCACAACGAAACATATTTTTAGGATTGAGTTATGTATGAGACCAAAACACGTATAATGATATAATACATAGATAGGTATTTTCTTCTTCCTCGATTAACAATGAAATAAAATAATAACAAAAAATAATGTAATTTATATTCTATATAATAATTTAAATAGTACGAATAAAATGTGTGTGTGTATGTGTACTGCATTTTTAATATATATATATATTTTTAATTTCACATTTTAATCTTAACTTTATGATACAATGTGTCTCGAGGTGAAATGACCAACAAGTGTCATATGAAAAAATACTTTAAGTTATTTAGAAAAACTGTTTAAAGGGGGTGGGTTAGACTCTTTTATTTATTTTTATTATATAATTTAATTATCTTTTAATACATTTTAATTTACTGTACATTTAAATTCAATAAAAATTATCTGCAAAACTATGTTTAAATTTTGCATGTTATTTAATTAAATTATAAATTAAAATTTCTTAATCGAGAAATAATTTTTCTATTTTAAAGATAACATTTCTAATCCTTGTTAAAATGGTGGTAAGCAATTTCCGAACAAATAAGCTCACAAACAAAAATAAGTTTCTAATCTACTTAGAGTAAATATTTGTTCATTTAAAATTTTTGTGCGTTATTTCAAATATAAATATAACGCCTGTACATGTACAATTATTTAAAATAATCTCTTCTTTCATGACGTCATTAAATTTTAATTATTGTATCTAATAGGTGCATGCATTTTAAATTTGAGTCAGCCGTCAAGAATGATAATGTAATCAAGAAATAGATAATATTCGTAAAAAAAAGTATATAGGTATAAGAATACATATTGAAATTATTGAAATTTATTCATTGCAATATATTATAATCATTCTAATAGTAAATATTTTAGTATTACGATTAATTATTATATATAAGATTTTCGCAAGTCGTAACAAAAATTCAGA